GAGGAGAACAAAAAAGAAACACTCCTACCTGACGAAGATATGCTCGGATTAGAGGCAAAAAGAGGGCCCACAACGCAAGACCCCACCGCCCATCCACCTCCCCCCCCAAAAAAAAAAAAAAAAAAAAAAAAAAGGGCCTACCCCAAATTCCCGAAACAGGGGTATTAGACGTCCGTCATCGTTTTATCCTCATCCTGACCCTCCCCACCCAGCTCCCCATCACCAAATATATCCTCCATCGTGCCATCCCCATCGTCTTCATCCTCCGCTTCTCCTCCATCCTCAACCCCACCGTCCTTCGCAAACGTCCCAGTCCCACCAACCCCAATCTGCTGCGTATTATTAACTTCAACCTCCATCTCCTCCTCTCCCTCACTCTCCCATTCCTCCTTCAACCCCCACCCGACCCCAGTTAAACAAAACCGTTCAGGCGGCAGCCTCATACCGCCCATCATGACACTACCAGCCGACGAGGCCACAGCGGCGGCTGCGGCTGATGACCCCCCATCAATCCCCCTCATAACACCAGGTAACATCATCCGATTCCTCTCCGCAGCAACTTCCATGAGAAACTCCTTAGGCAAACCGGGCTGGAACTGATAATGCAGACGCGACGCAATGCTCATCCGCAGAGCACCCAGACTGACAGTGCTGAGATCCAGATTGCCATGCTGCGCCGCCTTGGCCTCCGCGCCACCCTTGGTGGTAGTATTACCAGCAGACTCACCAGGGTACCCTTCCGTAGCAAGATACACGGCATCCTGCAGCGTGCTGGAGGTATATCTGTAGGCAAAGTCGAGGAGTTGGAGGGGTACTCGTTCTTGGTAGGCGGTTACGCCGAGGGAGGCGAGGATCATGTGGATTAGACGGGCGTCGCGAGGCCGGCGTGATTTGCCTGTGTCTTGTAAAGAGGTTGCGGGGACTTGGGCTGGGTTGTTTGAGTTTGCGGGAGTGAGTGTGGAGGGGTTTGCGGGGGTGGTGGCGTGATTGTTTGGTTGAGTGGAAGAGTTGTTGTTGGCGGAGGAGGGAGCATCGGCGGGAGGTGTGAGAGGTTGAGCTGAGGAAGCAGCTGCGCCTGCATTTGCATGTGGCGAGGCCATGATTATGGCTTATGGGGCTGCGGCGCAATTGAAGTTGATTGTGCGGTTATGCCGCTTTCGGAGGGTTGTTGAACCCCGGGTGTATGAGGTTCAAGATGCGGACTAGCCTCGATGGTATTTGCATATGTCCTATGTGGCTGACAGGATGGCCTTTGAAGCTAGGAATAATTGGTATGATCAGGGTATCTGCGTTGGTGTTAGTAGAGAAGAGGATGCGGTTATTGCTTTGGTATTAGCTGCTTGAAGTGAATCGAACATTTGAAGCTTCGAGTCAGCTTCAATGGAGATTAGGTAAGCAGCAAGAAATAGTTAAGAGCCTAACCTTTTAAGGTATAGTGCGTATGGCGGTCCAGCTTGCGAGATCTAACAGAGTAACCTCGAAAATGCAACCGCCAAATGAATCCGTCAATATCCGACAAAAAGGCTGTATCAGCAGCCTTAGGTCACAACATCAACGGAACTTCGATTTGTGATACTATTCCTCTATCAATTCTAAGGGCATTGACATATATATTAAAAAAAAGGATGCGGCAAAACAACATTTTGAGAGCCGCACCATAAACAAGTTGACAGAATGCCCAACGGCGGGAAGTCGACGACTTGTGTGTATGAACATATAAGTAAAGAGAAAAGAAAGAAAAACTCCCCGCTAATGCAATCGCATGACATCAATATCGCCCAATGACTACCAAGAGTATCAAGACATTAATGCAAAAAACTCCAACTCAATGTGAAAGTGCAATTTCCAGGGTGATCCAAGTGTTCTCTCCTGTACATAGCAAGCAGCTCTAAATAGCCATCGCTTATGTTGTTTGATTTGACTCCTCCGTCAACCCTTCGGAAGGTGTTTTCCCACTAAATGACAATTTAGCAAGTCGGGTAGCTTCAGTTGCGTCCGCTTCTGCATCAGCGTCAGCGTCCGCATTCGCATTGTCTCCGTTTTCGTTTTCATCCTTAAACTCGTCCTCTTCATCCAAATCGGACAGTTCAGCCTGATCTTCAGAGACAAACCCGACCATCGAATCAGCCATATCTCCAGGTCGATCTATAGAATCCCTTGAGATGTAGCTATCGCCCAGATCACCTTGGTCATCTTCATCGTACATTTCACTTTCTTCCCCCTCGCTTTCTTCGTCTTCACTAGCATCCTCTTCGCCATCGCTTGCCACGCTGGAATCCGTGGTGGAAAAATTATCCAGATCTCTAGGTGTATCTCGCCAATATGTGAAGTCTGTGAACTCCTCCCCTCCTTCTTGGACAAGCATTGAGACCGGTGGGAAGAAATGGTCGACAAGTTCCCGCATTGTGACGTAGCTGCTCCTGTATTTGTTGAGGCTCAACAGGTCCAGTGAAACCTCCGCATTGGAGTTGATTGTAAATATTCTCGAGGACGGTATATTTACGGATCGATAACTTAGCGCGTCTGTGAGTCGATTCCCAAACCCGGCATAGAACGGGTTTTTCCTTCCACGGAAAAGACTCAGAATATCACGAAGGCATGCCATCTTGAACACCTCTGGTTTCCTTAGATATATCTCGCGGCGTAGGGCGGCGATTGTCCTGTCAGGGCTCATTATAACGGGGCCTTTAGGAAGCTTATAGCCCTCCTGGGCGATCCCGCTAAGGTAGGTTCGCGTTGTGTCGGCTTGGCCAGTTGATCTACTTGTTAGATACATCAAATTATATCCGTTGCTCACGATATCTGTGTACAATTTGGCGACTCCGATGTGTGTCCAATCACGACCTATCATGTTAAGCACATGGCCAAGGGCATCAGACCTGGATGATACATTAGCATTTAGAAACTGAGATGAAAGTGAAGAAATTTTGAGGACAAACATACTTTGTAATTGTGCCATCGATATCAGATATCACGATAGGAACTTTATAATTCCATAAATACATCGTGGCAGGGCATGTGGCTTTGTTGACACTGAAGGCCATTTCATTGGCGCCGGGTTTCAAGTTTAAAGCCTTGAGCTGATCACTTGTCAGCCTCAGAGTCTTAGCATAATTGCGATTCTGTTCTGCTGTTTCTCCATCGACAGGAGTTTGTGGTGGGGTTAAAATTCCACCCTGGACGTCGGAGTGCGAGCGGTGGTGCCTCTGGGATGGCTGGTTCTCCCCAAGACTTTGTTCACCATCACTATGATAGCCCGGGTCGGAAATCGCATCCCCCATTGCGCTAGCGGATCGCAATGACGACAGAGTTGCTCTACGGCTGGCAGCCTCCTTTGACTCCTCACTGCTGTATATCCATAGATTTCCATGTTCATCTGCACCGATCAAGGCTCCAATATCATAGTTTCCTTCAAGCTCCTCTGCGAGGATCTTCCGAGCGATTATTTCAGCCCGAAGCGCGTCCTCGTCACTACTCTTGTAACCAGTCATATCCAACATTAGATCCCCACTTTCTGTAATGTGAGACGGAATATTGGATATAGACAGCTTTCTTGAGAGTGCCATGGCTCGCAACAGGGCTTCTTCGGTTGTGATGGAAGGAGGACTACGAGATCGCTGAGAAACGGGACTCTTGTCATGCAGGATTGGCGGTTGCAGCGTGCTCTTCGCCTCAAATTCTCCTGAAGGTTCAAGCCTTCTTGAGGTCGATACGGTGGTTAAATCCTCCGAATGAGCCCGATCCAACGAAGGGGCCGAGACCAACCAGGGAGCTGCATGCGGGGGTTGAGATGATTCATTGTCGGAGAATCTGGAGAGTGGTGTCATAGCTCCTGCAAGAGATTATTAATACAGCTGCAGAAAAAGGCAGAAATTATGCAAAAGAAGTCATACCCAAATCACTTTTGGCTCTCCCAGTCGCTGAGAGAGCGGGGGAGGTAGAGAGCAGACCCCTGTCATTTTCAACCAAGTTATTTGTTTTCTCGGTGGTAAGGTCCAGATAGTCTGGCTCTTGGAGAGTGGAGCCATTGCGATCTTCATTCAAACCAGGTTTAGGGCTCGCTGCTGGGGAAACCAAGGGTGACGTTTGCAGTGACTCAGGGATATCTTCCGAGGTCTCGAAGACGAAAAACGCCTCCCCGCCTTCTCCAAGCTTCATAGAATACTCCTGCTTAACTCCATTTACTCGGAATTCCACCTGTTATCATGGATAAGCATTCTGCGTACCGGTAAGGGGGTGGGGACGCATATAACATCATTCCTTCCAAACCGTACCTTTTTCTCATAAGGGCGCAGCAGAGAGAATTTGCCGAATCGAACGTGGAAGGGGGAGCAGGCCAGCGTCCCTTAGGGGGGCGATTAGCTTAGCTTAAGTGAGATCATATCTGACAGCAAAGAGACATGTCAAACTTACCATCCTCCTGCTCAATAACAATCACATCGATGGCTCCGCTCAGCGTTGCTGGATTGATAGAGTTCCATGTCTTGGAAACCGAACCGCTGATGCTGCGGACGTACTGCATTCCCGGATCACTCAACGAAGGAGGTTGACAAGATAAACCCAAATCAAAATATCCGCCTCAGAAAGAGCTCCAACGCCGCAGCCTAACTCAAGAAGTTTATGACACAGGGAAACGAGCGCGAGAATTTCGAACCAAGGGCGTTGGCTTACTGCGGAGCCGGATTGGCCATGTGACGATGCGACGGAGATACGACGTAGACTTTTAGTGCGGGGGAAGGGGACCAAGTACGGGATTACGAATAGGATGTAATATGATTTCAAGGACTACACGGAGAATACGAGGATCTGAGGATCTGAGGATCTGAGGATCTGGGAATCTGGGAATTGGGGAGCTCTGGGAATTGGGGGGATCTGGGAATTAAGATGATGGTTGAAGGGAGTTCGCCCGCTCAACAAAGATGGTTCGAATGTCTGCCTTGGGCCCGACGCCAAGACGGTAGTTTAGCTAGGTTTAAAATGTCATTGCCGCGGGCTGATTAAGCGCATACCGTGGAAAGCGCGGCCATGTGATCTTGATGCTGATTCTGGTTGGGAACTTTGCTTACTGGTTAACTATATATAGATGAACTTGCGGAGTCCAAAGTCACGACCCATATTTACCCAACAGGAACAGCTGAGCGAGATCAAATATCTGCTTTATTAAGAAAAATTAAAAATAAATAAATAAATATTAAATTAGAAATAACAATAGAAATTAAACACCCAAGCCTTAATCCTATATTTTCGACCATTTTCGAGCTGGAAAACTTAAAATTAGAATTTTGGTATAATTTTAAGCGCAAAGGACGAAGTAGCAGCGGTAAATTAACACTTCGGGGACAAAAATCAGGAAGCCTAGCCTATGTACGGAGCATTGTATAACGAAGTATATCCATAGTGGGTTTCCGGATATGTTTTATGAAGTGTATCAAATTGTCTCAGGAGGATGATCTCTTTTACCAGTGTCTACATGAAACACTTGGAGAAATGGCTAAAGCATTTCAAAGCGACGAGGAAGCGCGGTAGTTACTGGGCTAAAATGATTTGATCTCGCTTTAACGAACCTCCATAACAAATTCCTCCATATAATGTACAGAAGTTCCTTTCTGAATTCATTCTTCATACAAAAATTCATTAAACCCTCTATACAGTGAAATTTGTTTTAACTATTCCATTGTATTTTCTATATAATTCATTATATTGAGTCACAATGCCACTCAGAACTGCAATTTCAGTTGATCAAAAGACAGCCTCTACACAGTCATAAATTGCGGAGTTCAACCCTCAGCAACAAGACCCTTTAAGACATTGTTTTAAATGCTATATAACCAAAAGATCGCTCTATTCTCTGTCTCTGAGATTCTTTCTTCATGTGATGATCATCTTGATCAGACAGTGACAGTCCACTGTTTTTCGAAGCAGAAGCGCTGCCAACGGCATATTATTGCACTATTAGACTCTGATGACGGGAGTGATGCGGATGAGGATATGAATATAGAAACCCTTCCACGGATTACAGCTTCGGAGGCTTTAAAATTTGGTAAAAAGGCTTCACTTTGTATGAGGAGCAGAAGGATCAGAGAGACCAGAGTCTAATTCAACAGCTTAATTACTACGAGAGAAGGTCAGACGCATGCAAAGCTTGAAAATCAGCAGCCGCAGCATATTCAGGCGTACCTTGAACACTCAACCTCAACATAGCGAATTCCTCCATATAAAGAATCGAATAGGCTTCCAAAGATGAAATCGTTATAGCGAGGGTTTACTGTAGCTTGAAAAATTTCTGTGATAACTAGGCAACCAAGAAATGATATCTGTAAGTTGCCTTCTAATCGTCATTTCATCTCTAGGCCGAGGCTGGATATGTGATCGCACTTCTACATTCATTCTATAAGCAAAAGAATATCCTGCAACTTTCAAAGGACTCACTCCTTCTGAAGTCATCAACGATATCGTCAAGTGGAATAATAACCTTGCTTTTTCTCTCGGCACTTATTCCATTAGCGTCGCAAGACAAACTCTTTAAACCGAGGCGCAATTCATCCATTTGGTGCGAGTTTCGCGGCTCCCAACGTCAATCGAATCCAACCTTATCTGCTTACCGCAGCATGTTTAAAGCGTAAATTCCGACGTTGAGCTTAAACGGCCCGGGCGAACGATACGCCGCGCTCTCTTCGATTGGAGCCACGCGGGAAATCATATGACGGTATGCGGATATTCTTTGATCCCACTCCGAAATCCTAAGTCGGCGAAATACATTTTAGCCCGAAGACTTCAACGCTCGAAACGAGACACCGACGACTTCACGGAGGATCTAAGAGGCAGACAATACCGCCTCCACCTCCGCAGACGACATAGCCATACCAGCGGATGAGCTATGGATGGTAGGCATGTATGAGCCACTGCGTTTTGTATCGGATAGCTACCCCAGCGTAGTCCCGATCGTGAAAATACGACGTGCGATGGCCCTCTTCGTAGCTGCCGCGATTCTATCTGCTCTAATATGGTGAGTCAATCAGTGCCCACAGCCCCACGACCAACTACAAACGTCTAATCCCACTTGGCCTAGGCTTCTATACCGTGCATATCAGGTTTGTCAAACGCCCAACGATGTTTTGGTAGAAAAATTAGGCTTGGATATACCCCCCGCTCCCTCTGTCACCTTGGAAGAGATTACCGCCAGGATGATTCGCGTATCCTGGAAACTTCCGGATTTGCAACATTCTATTCACAAGCACCTTATCCAGGTCAATGGGATCAAAGGTCCGTCCTAGATACATTTTTCTAAATATGACATTGCAAATATATTAACTGTCATTACAGTTGGTGAGACAAAACGTTCGGAAACAGGCGTTACCATATCCAATCTCGCTCCAGGCCATATATATCATATCTGCGTCTCTGCCGTTAGCGCTGCCAATTTCCAAACATCAAGCTCGCTCCTTCATGTCCGTACAAAAACTCTGTCGATCTCCGATCCCCATGAAGATGAAGGGGAGGGTGGTCCAATTATTCGGGCTTACATCACTAGGCCGCCGGCTCCTTTGGTTTCACCGTCTTCCCCAGTGATGTTCAGGGACCACAGCAGCGGGCAGGTTCAGCGAAAACGCTCCACGGGGAACAGAAAATCGTTCCCATCTCCCAATACAGGCCCAGAGCATGCAATGCATACAGGCTCGGAAGATGGTCAAAAAGCCGGCGATGTTGATGATTCCGAGGAGGATCTTGCGCTGCTGGCCGAACGCCTCAAGGATTTACAACAGGAAAATGAAACTTTAGAAAAGCAAATCTGCATGGAAGAGAAGGAACATGAGCTAATGTTACGAGAAATAGAGGAGCAGCGGAACGAAGTCAGACAACGAGTGAAGGAGAAAGATGAAGCCAGTGGGGACCTCAGAAAACACGTCAATAGACTTGAAAGCATCAATCGTACAGTACAGAGCGAAAAGAGCAAGAAGGAAAGACTGTTGCAACAAAAGGAAGCAGAACGTCAAAAACGTAAGGAGGATATCATCCGATGGAATGAACAATTAGTCGTCCTGCATGGAAAAATATCTCGAGCGAAAGAAGAAAAAGCACAGATTGAGTCAGACGCTCTAAAACAAGTCAACGAGTATCGCAGCAAGATCGAACACGAACAGGCGGAAATGAAAACTCTAGATGAAGACATTAAAGTGAAAGGAAGTCGGATCAAGGACATGGAAGAAGAGAGACGCCGTCTAGAGGGTGACGATACCGATGATGGAAGAGAGCTTGATCGATTGGAAAAGGAAAAAGATCATTTTTGGGAAGTTAAATTGGGGAACCTGCGGACTCAATATGCCTCACTCATCAAAGTCCACTCTAAGGTTGGTCAATCTAACGGTCTCAGATAAGATTTACATTTTTTTTTTTTTTTTTAAAAAAAAAAAACTAACTGCAACCAGGCCCAGCAACAGTACCAAGAAGCCCAAGAGCGTCTTGGATGGGTTACCTCCCAGAAATCGAATTCCGGGGTTCCGTTTGGCCCTCTTCCTTCATTAGATTTGGATCTGACCCGCCGACCCAGTCTTCATCGTCGTACTCGTCATCGCAGTTCCCTTGTGAGCAACGTTTCGTCTCCCGTGAGCTATCATCTTATGGATACCTCGCTTTCCAATGCATCAAATTACCATGCCGTTGGAAATGGGTCACCAACATTTGCCCCCGGGCCGGCATTTTTCAACATTAACAATGGGATGACTATTCCAGACCCATCTAATCAGTCACCTGTCAATCGCATTGATGCTGATATATTAGCGAGCATTCCACCTATGAGTCCACGAGCAGATTCTCTTCTACCTTCCGATCTACTTGGCGACGAAGAGCAGGCATCAGCAGCTCTCCCTCCTACCCAATTTTCCAGAACGGCCGTTTTCGATAACCTGCTTCCCAACTCCCCCTCACCTGTATCATCTGGAAGCCGCCCTGAAAGTTTATTTACAAGTCCACGTGAAAGCCTAAACAACCTACCAGAGAATGCACTCAATTCCATGCCGGTGCCAAACATACCGTTAGCTCAAGAGACCTCTGAGAACGTACAAAGTGCATCTCGTCGGCTGTCGGGACTTCTTAATTTTCATCGTCAAAGGGGCAAAACCATGGTAGATGGACTACCCATGCTTGGGACTCTGAAACCCGCCCAGAGTCAATCGTTCCCACGAAATCTTGATGAAGGACTTGATCCAATAGGGACAAGACGGCGTCGACTTAGCTATACGGGCAACTGGGCGAACCCCGTAACAAATCTATTCCCGCGCAATGCAACCACTCATGTCACTAGTGATAGTTCGTCTGACCGGCTACCTGCGGGCCGCAGAACGATGTTCCCTAATTTCTTCAGCTCCGGGAAACTGGCGTCTGCAGCATCAAGCGCTCTAGAGAAACCAACGATAGACCGTTCTGACCTAGGCACTGGATATAACCAATTCAGCGCCAGACATGACCCTATAGATCCGTCTATACTCGGAACTGTTCGTCGCGGATCGTTGTCTCCGAGGCCTACGTCTACCTACTCGTTTGAGAATCATCAGCTTCCACGTCCTACTGCGGATAACTACCAGCCATTTGGATGGCCATCGACAGACAAATCGGGACATAGAGGTAATCCACTTGGCCTCGACTGGTCGTCTCCTACAGCTTGGTCCCGCAGCCAGTCCCGCCGGCCCTCCATCCAGTTTGGGTCATCAGGAAATTTACCATTAGGGTTGGCCGCTACCGACGTAGATTTCCTTGGGACCCCATACGAGCTACAACGACCAGTACAAGCTCCTATTGGGACGCGCCCACCATCATCTCACCGACCAGTCACACCAAAACTTAACCCGACAGCACCTTCTTTCAAAACTATTTTTGGCAAGAAATCCGAGAGAACGAAAGCTAAAGAAGGAGAATCTTCAAAGCCTCGTGACCACGATCTCAATGTCGAAGACAGCTCATCTCCAGAGCAGCGGCGTTCGAAAGACTCCCGTTCCAACCGCACATCTGCAGCTGACTCCTATGAATCCTTGGAACGGTTATCATCAGGAACACCTTCGGAAGCGGTAAACCCAAAGGAGTCATTTATCCAGAAGATCACGCGGAAGAGCAGCTCGAATAAGTTCAACATCCCCTGGAAAGATCGGGCTGGGTTATTTTTGAAGAAAGGCGACTCCTCGACTCAGGGCGACAATATCGATGAAGATGCCGCGACGTCGGACTCTCTACTCGGCAAAAGTGTTGATAGCTTATCTTTCAGCGCGGCATCCGCGGACAAGTTGAATAAGAGCAGTTTGGGATTTGGTTTCATGCGGAAATCCAAGAAGGAGAAGGCTGCTAGTGACTCTGGCGAGAAGGCTAGTGAGACTGGGGATGAGTATCTCTCTGAAGATGCCTAATGGCTGATAGCACTTATCTTACATTGCTTTTTCTCTGGGTTTTTGTTTTAGATTTCAGAGTCTGTTATTTCAGTTCTTTTGGTGGTTGGTTTGAGGACTGCTTCACAACAATTTTTCCAGGGGAACACATTTTGACCCGCACAATCGGAGACACTCGTTTCCATCATTTTTTTTTTTTTTTTTTTTTTTAAGATCTCAAGCAATTCAGATGGTCTTTGAAGCAAATCTACGAGAAAGCTTGAAAGGCTTCTTATGCATGTTTGTCGATGACAAGCAGAATGTGGAAGTGGCTGGAAATAGGATCAAATCATATGGTCCCACATTTCAGAGTATCAGGGCATCAACTAGGCGCATACATTCCTAAATAATTGAAGCCATTGTATGACCCACATCGCAAGCAAGATATGTAGGCAGACAAGAAGAGCTTCGTGCTATTTGCAAAGATAAAAATAGGATGCAGGTCGCGCTTCCCAGCAGATATCAGCCCTGGCATAGGATGGTCTTTCGATCAGGGCTCGAAGAAGATGGCCATCTACGTGATCCAGGTCAGGTTTCACCACGAAGCGGGCAGCTAAAATTCGGTGTCAGAAGAAGTGCCGTTTGTCATCTTTTGCCGGTGGTAGTCTCACATGACACAGCACCTGCGGAAAGATTAGTGTAATCATACTCTACAACCCATGGAGCTGACTGAAACGGAATCGTAAGCCTTCATACCTTAGCGGTCGCTCGAAGCTCAAAATCGTTGTAGCGTTCGCTTCTCGCGCTGTCTGTCATTGGGCGGGAGATAACTATTTGAATGGTGGCAGAATCTTCACCGCCCAGGGGTGTTTACCCATTCGCCGCCTCTCTGCAAATGAAGACCTGGATCAACTGCGTAGGTCCCTAGGAATATTGAAGACGGGATTGCACATTGGTTCTCCTCCCTCTCCAAACCTCCTGTATACATCTATATGATATGATGGCAAACTCAAAGTAATCATCGTCCCCCTGTATCTCAAAGATGAAAATTGATAATTGCTTGAAGTTGTTAACAAAACTCCCCCTCGCCCTCCCCCCAGGTACGAATATGTGAAGGCATTTGAACAGGATGACAATCTTCTTCCAAATACTTGGATTGTCGTCCGGATTGATGGACGAGGCTTCCATAGGTATGCGTTTCCGATTTTGTGATTTTCTTATCATTTATTCCGCTTTGTTTGCTCATACACCTGGACGCTGTAGAATAGGAGGCCACGAGCTGGAGCACTGCAAAGTATCCAACAACGCCTCCTTATTCCATGGAATGGAGTGCTGCTGATAGACGCAGACTTCCTCTCTGACTGTAATCATGTTATATCCGTCGTTTATTTTATCCTCTTTCCGGCTTGAGAGTGATCGTTAATTTTCTTCTCACGCTAACCCACCCCTCTTCAGGTTTTCTGGCCGTTACCATTTCCAAAAACCCAACGATGAACGGGCTCTCAATCTTATGAATACCGCTGCATGTGCCGTTATGAAAGATCTGCCCGACTTAATCATTGCGTACGGCGTTAGCGATGAATATAGGTGACTTTCCTCTAGGAATAGCGACTGATTTACTGCGAGGTCGTGAAATTGATTTATGTGTCTGAGAAGCTTTGTTTTCCACCGGAATTGTCAGTTATTTGAGCGGAGAGGCAGGTAAGTTGTTTATTAAAGCTGAACTTTGCACATTCCCAGCTCTCCCTCTGCGCTCTCCACCTCGCCTAGGCGGGAGCTGCTCTGTGTAGAACGCATTGGATCATTTTTAACCTACCCTTCTTCGCATCGACAGCAAGCTCGTAACTACAATTGTGTCAACATTTACCGCTCATTACATATATAACTGGTCATCGTTCTTCCCTTCTGCACCACTGGAGCCAGGATTTTTACCGACATTTGACGGTAGGGCCGTCCAGTATCCGAGTGTGAGGAATTTGAGGGACTATATGAGCTGGAGACAAGCTGACTGTATGTCCTCCGTTTATGAATATTTAACGTTTTAATTCTGTTTTATTCTACCTTTTCTTACTGAATCGGGTTGGCACTAACGGGAGAGATGCCCCGACTAACGACGGTTTGGCATCCCCTGTAGGCCATATAAATAACCTTTACAACACTACTTTCTGGAATATGATTTTGCGGGGTGGGATAAGTAATACAGAAGCAGAGAAGGAGTTACAGGTTTGTAGAACGAAAGACTCCACATTTTGTGCTTACCGCTGGCGGAAGGCTGTAGTTCTGGAAGATTACTTACAAAGAAGAAAATCAGGGGACGGTATCCGGTGAAAAAAATGAGATCCTATTCTCAAGATTCGGCATAAATTATAATAACGAGCCGGAAATGTATAGAAAAGGGAGTGTGGTATTCAGAGACGTAAGCGTTGTCTTTTTTTTTTTTTTTTTTTGCCCCAAAATACCCGTTTGGATGTCAAAAATCGAATCAAACGCTATTTAGATTGCACACTTATTTGCGATACAGTACGAAATACAACCCCAAACGGAGGAGGAAAAGGCTGGCGATGGATCTAATGAGGTCGAGTCAGAAACTGGAGAAGAGATACCACCGACCGAAATGACCAAATCTCAATTAGCAAGACTACGGAAAATACAGAAAAAGGCTACAATTGTTGTCAAACATATGGACATTATTAAGGATGATTTCTGGGAGCAAAGGCCGTGGATTCTATCTAATAAGCCGGGCAGACTGCCTGCGGTGGGTTAGTGGTTTCTCCTTCTCGCTATCTGCTAGTCGATAGAAAGTGACGAACAAACGCCTAGCGCATGGGGGACAGTATCATGAGATCTCATGTTCACACAGTGCAATATAACACAACCAAAATATAATATCATACCAAAAATTCCGAACCAAAATTGTATGTGCAGCATCCGTTTAAACAGGCCGCATGAAATCTCCAGTCCCCTATGGCAGGCTTTCAGCCACAGTGAAATTCAAATCCTTCTTGGGCCTCAGATTACCTTTCTCAGTGTGCTTCATCCATCAACCGGAAGATGTCCCGTCTGAGTTTTGGACCTCCGCAACAGTTCTCGAGCCCCGGTGGCATCGAGGCGTATATAAAAGCCTATAGAAAGCCAAGTAATTTTTCGATAAAACTATCCATAGTTTATCACTTCGTATCACGGAATTTCTTCCCACATTTCCTCCCGTTCTTCCTTGATTCTTTCTCCATGCGTTGTGATCCCCGCTGTGCCTCCTCCTTCTGCTCCTTCTGTTTCTTCCGTGCATTCTTATCATACACGGCATCCTCATCAGCCTCTTCAATAATCCCTTCTTCTCCAACTGCAGGAGAACCGGACTCCGAAGGTCCCAGTTTTTCCCACTTCTTTCGTTTCCTTTTATCTGCAGGCTTATCCACTGTAATTCCCTCTAATTTGGTGGGATCTTTTTCCTTCTCATTCTCCTTCTTCTCCTTCTTACTCCGCCTCCTCTTCTCTATAGATTCCACCGCCACCACTCCATCACCAGCATTTCCTCCCTCGAAAGGACGCTCCCCATCCCTCTTCCTCTTTTTCCGGCTAGTTTCCTTCATTAACGCTCTCTCTTCTCCCCTCTCCTCAGCATCCTCTGTCTCATTCCTTTGCTTCCTTTTCCTTTTCTTCCCCCCTTCTCCGGAACCAACAGAATCCCCCCCAACCCTCCTCATCTCCTCCTTCCCCTTAACATCCTTACCCACTATCCTATTAATCGTCCCCTCCAGGCCCTCCCCTTTGACAAAAAAACGATACAACTCGCTCGTCCCACTCGCGCCAAAGCCAGATCCATCAGAACTAGGCGTCGCACTCCCATCATCGCCAACACCCTTCAGAGCAGCCTCAAATCCGCGCAGCCACCACTGGTTCGTATAATCATGAGTGGTCTTCTTCCCGAGTCCGTGTGTGTTCTTCTTTCGTGAGATGAGGATAGGTTTGGTAAGGCCGAGGCCACCATGAGGGCCGGGGCGGCGAGTTGGGTTAAGTGGGTTGCCAGGGCCTGGCCACCCTTGGCTAAAAAGATATGCGCGGGCATCCATAGGTGGTTGCTCATGTATGATATACTCAATGATGTATGAGGAAGAGGAATAATGAGGTTCGGGTAAGCTATGGTGCCTGGTGCCTAGGTCTACCAGGAGTGGTGAGCAAACCAATTGGGGAAAGAGGTATTAAATAGAACGATGGCCCCTATTAGCTTATTTGAGATCGTGGCTATCATGCTCGTAATACATTTGACTGTGTTGTTATTGTTCTCTCGTTCTTGGATGAAAATTATCGTAGTGATTGCTTAGTCAGCTATCAGCTGGCTAGTTAACTAACTAGTAAGTTAAACGTCTCTCTTCCCGCCTCGGTCACCTTCCCGCCACCCTTCATTCAAATTTTGACAAGTCCAAATGTATATATGTTATAGGATTGACCCTTAGTCTGTAATCACTGTGTTAAGTTCAGCTTTATTGCATTTGCGGCAGGTTGGAGGTCTTCACTCTCGAGTCTTCAGATTTAAATCCTCAATCCCTTTTCTTTGTGAGCTCTAGCAGCCCTAGCTTATCCTTCGTAAAGCAGTTAGTATCCCTTCTGTAGTTGTATACATATGCAGTTTTTCCTTCTTTCACTTCTTCCTAGCTCTCAGATTTATATTTTAAGTTTATTATAAAATACGTTGGCTGCTTTTACTTAAATAACTATAACTAAAGCTATAGTTAATTAATTGACTTGTAAAGGTGTGAAGATCAAAAAACCTTACAAAACCTTATTAAGTATTTTATTCGCAGTATCCACTAACTAGTTAACTAAACATTTTAATCTTACTCATCTTGTCACAGAATCTTCGTGTCATTGATCAAATTGAATAGAAAGGTGCGAAAATATACACGGGTATCCCGCAAATTTGCTCTTGCATTTCCTCCTATCCATCTTAGCTAATCTGCATACAAAGAGCCGAAAAAGAAAGAAATTTGAATGTTTTTTTTTTTTTTTTTTTTTCCTTTTTGGCAAAGCAACGACACAAAATAGCAGAAAGCAACTCCAGCATCGGGCTACATTATGTGCGTGGGTGCTGAATCATCTAGGGATTATTTCAGTCTTTATTTTCCTTTCTTTTTTCTTTTCTTCTTTTTCTGTTTTTTGCACATTTTTGTCTTCCCTTCCTTTCTTGCATCCTCGGATCAAAGCGTTGCGAAACACCATTTTGCCCAGAAAAGAATACGACTTTGGGTTTGAAAAGGCGAGGGAAAGAACAACCAATCAGGCTAAAAGAGAACAGAAGGCTTAAAAGTAAATACACCCCACAGGGAAAACGCCAGATTGTTAAAAAGAAATAACCAACCGCCTGATAGAAAACCCAGCCATGCTGGATAGAGTGGTTTTGTTTTTTCGGTATGCAAGTGCTAGTTGACATGAAGTAATAATACAGCGATGTGCGGGAATAGGGAAGACCATCGCGAAAAGAAAAAAGGTAAATGGGAAAACCTCTCAGGAAAGAATAATGTCGAGTCTACTGGTGAGGGGATCTAAAAATAAAAGTGTTAGTGATATATTTCAGTGGCTTTCAAGGAATAAACAACTTACGTAGGACTAAAGGTTGGGGAAGTCGGGCTGTAACCAGGAGAAGTTGGTCCACCAGGTGAAGTTGGCGAGCCTGAGAAGTTCGGAGAAGTGGGTGAGTAGGTTTCTGGGCTGGTTGGGGACCAACCAGGAGAAGTGGGGGTATATTTGGGCGAGGTGGGAGAAGTAGGAGATAAATGTCTTCCAGTCGATCCTCCAAGCGCAGGGCTTGTAGGACTGTAGCTGGGAGAAGTAGGACTGAATGCAGGCGAGGCAGGACTGAAACTTGGTGATGTTGGACTGTAATTTGGTGACGTAGGAGAAAAACCAGGAGATGTAGGAGAATATGATGGCGAAGTTGGCGATTGCTGATAGCCAGGAGAAGTTGGGGAGTAGGCTGGTGACGTGGGTGCAAAAACGGGACTTGCCGGCGAAAATCCAGGGGAGGACATGAATCTGGGGCTCGTGATGCTCATGCCAGGAGAAGTTGGGGAGTATCCAGATGAGGGCGAGTAGCGAGGAGAAGTTGGACTGGTATTGAATGGACTGCTAGGAGAGTAGCCTCCACCGGGACTTCTCGCGCCGTGAGGACTGAAGCCACCGCTAAATCCAGGGGCTTGATATTCGGTGAATCCTGCAGGTGTCTCCGATCCAGCTTGTCTGATGGGAGAGAAAGCGGAGTCAGGGTCTGGTGTGCCGATATACATGTTGTCCTGTAGTGGGGAGTTGCTATCGTAAGGTGTTGCAGCTCCATCTCCGAGAAGACCTTTGCCATCCGCGGTCATCAGCCCTGCGTTGCTGGAAACAACTCCCATGAGCATATTCTGATCCAGGTAAACATCAAACTCTCCGGTACCAGCTGGGGCCATTTGGCCCAAAATCAGATTCTCAGATACACCACGACAGTCATCCAACTCAGCAAATGCAGCGGCATCAAGTAGAATTTCCACTGTTTCCTCGAAAGAACATCTCATCAAAGCGCCAGTATCAGCACGATTGATACCATGCCTAGTGACGGCCATAAGGAAACCTCTCGAAGTCATGACATCGACAAGGAGGGCCAAATGACGGTGATTGACATATGAACCATCGAAGGCGAGCACCTGCGTCAACTCTCGCAATAGGGCGGTTCGAGTAGCTTCGATACCAAATACTTCAAGAATCTCAACGAACTGATTGGAATATGTGCGAGTTGTATCCACTCCAGGGATAGTCAAGACTTCGCCAAGCGCTGACCCGCTGGTTTCGAGAACCCACTCTTTACACAGGGGGTCTTCACTGCTTTGATGCAGAGATCCATCTTCTAAGACGCGAACTCGAGATTTCTCGTTAATGAATGCACGTTCAATACCCGCCACACCTCGTAGAGTAAGCGTATCAAGCAAATGGCCTTCCAACTTCTTCAGAGTCACATCATACTCGGTATCATCATCGTCATCTTGCTTTGTGTCCTGGATTTGACGGATACGAATAACCTGCTCATCAGCATTATTATCACTGAAGATAACTGCAATGTCTTGAGGATATGCGTCTTTTATCCTCATTGCGACGTCTTGGACAGTAAGATTTTTATCGAGAAGCTTCGGTCGGCTCAGAATAATTCTGAGTAGCCATTTGGATTGACGGCTTGAATCATCTGCGACATCTTCAGGGATAATGAAATACGATTCAACCATGTCACGATCCGCTTCAATCACAGTAGATTGAATGTCAGGGTCGTAGTAGATCTCCGTTGCTTCAGTAACAGATCTCAAGCTTGTATGTTCAACAACACTACGTAATTGCTTGGCAGATTCCTTGTCCATTGCGCGACTAGAATCTTGATAGACTGTCATGGAGGGAGTCTTGATATGCGTAGCCACATTGAGAATTTCCTTGAGACGCGGTACACCGAGGGTAACGTTCTTGGACGACACACCAGCAAAATGGAAGGTATTCAAGGTCATCTGCGTTGCCGGCTCTCCAATTGACTGTGCCGCCAAAACGCCCACCATTTCACCTGGATTTGCCATAGCTCTGGAGAATCGATTTTCGATGGCTCCTAATACGTGTTGGAAGGCGAGTTTGTTAAGCGAGTATTCCGTGACAAGTCTCCGGAATGCAAGGCGGGAGCGGAGCTGAGCCTTAAACAGTAAAGTAGCGCTTTCTTGAGCTTCACGAGAGATTACATCGTCACCACGGACAACGACAAGGCGATCCAGCAGTGCTCTAACTTGAGGAATGACCTCCGCCGGATGCAAATCACTAATTGCGCCTTCACGAATTCTAAATATCGTTTTAGCGGACTCAAGAATTCGCTGCACATTAATTGGCAATTGCATCATCTCGTCATCTTCCTTGGCCGCGGCTCGCATGAAAGCTCGGTCCTTCAAAAGTTGTTCCCATTCCTCATCAAGGTACGTCTGGACTTCGATATCGCCAGCAATTTCAGTGGCTTGCTCTAACACATTCGGTGAGAGAGTTCTTTCAGGATCCATCAGATCAACTCGGAATCTCTCACGGAACTTTTCGTCTGAGCATTTAATAATATCGACGCGCTGATTCTCAATATGCGCTCCATCTAGACCATCCTCTCCGTACAGAAACTGAACCACATCACCGAGTGAGTTACGAACGGTACCGTCATATTTAACCATGACCTCCTCAAGAGCCTTAACAAGCTTCCGCTGGATGTACCCAGTTTCAGCTGTTTTAACAGCAGTATCAATGAGACCCTCACGACCAGCCATGGCATGGAAAAAGAACTCGGTGGGAGTGAGGCCTCGGAGATACGAGTTCTCAACAAATCCTCGAGATTCTGGCGAATAATCGTCCTTCGTGAAATGCGGCAAGGTACGGTACTTGAAACCGAACGGAATACGTTTTCCTTCGACGGATTGCTGGCCAACAACAGCAGTCATTTGAGAAATATTGATAATCGAACCTTTTGAACCAGAACGCGCCATTTGGACAGCGTTGTTCAAGTCCTTGAAGCTCTTTTCTGTCTCCGTTCCAGCCTCATCACGGGCATTGTTCAGAGCGCGGGACACCTTACTCTCGAATGTCTCACGGACATTCATACCTGGAAGGGGCTCGAGAGTATTATCCGTTGCGCTGGCTGTGATCTCATCAACTTCCTCCTTTCTCACACGAACTGCGTTTTCAATTTTTTGGATCGTAGGAAGATCAGGAATCGTGTCACCAATTCCAATACTGAAGCCATGGTGAAGTAGCCAGTAGTTGACGACAGTTTGAGCGCCATTAAAGAAGTTCATCGCCGTTTCGGGGCCATACTCATTGAAAATAGTATGGATGATACCCCCACCAGTTGCTCCAACCGTTTTCTTGGAAAACATTCCGTACATAAGCTCGCCTCCGTGTACCAACACTCCACCATCAGCAGGTGGTGAGAATTTCTCCGAACGGGGAGCCCGATCACGATCAACTCGAAGAAGATTTAGACCAGGGGGAAGAACCATGCTAATAAGCTGTTTCCCAGTCCATCTTGGTCTGGGTTTCAAAATAGCTGGTTGAGGAATTACACCATCCCAGTCTGGGACCCAAAGCAAAATGTTCATTACCTGCTCCTTTGAAAGGAAAACGTCACGTCGACAAATCTTGTAGATTCCACAAAGGGTATCCTGTACAATGCCCATCAACGGACCATTACGTTGGGGGGATACTATTTGTAAAGGCACCATGCACAGTTGACTGAGCTCAGCACGAGCTTCTTCGCTTTGCGGAACGTGCAAGTTCATTTCGTCACCATCGAAATCGGCGTTGTAAGGGGTAGTGACGGACAAGTTCAGGCGGAATGTCGAGTAAGGCATTACGCGGACGCGGTGAGCCATCATAGATTCTTTGTGCAAAGACGGTTGCCGATTGAAAAGGATCACATCCCCGTCTACGATGTGGCGCTCCACTCTCCATCCATACTGTAAGAAGTTTCTTCCTCCTCCACCTTTGTGATGGCGCAAGTCAATGCGCTCACCGGTGCTGCGAATAACGTAACGGGCTCCTGGATGAATATCCGGGCCATTGTCAACAAGCTCCCCTAATTTAGCAATGTTGAAAGGAGTGACGACCTCGGGGTAGGTCAAAGTCTGCGCAATGCTGATAGGAACTCCGACTTCGTCCAAGGACAGATTCGGATCACCCGTAATAACAGTACGAGCCGAAAAATCAACACGTTTTCCCATCAAGTTCTGACGCAGACGACCTTCCTTCCCCTTCAGACGGCCGCGTATGGCCTTGACAGGTCGATTTGACTTTTGCATTGCTTGTGGCTGTCCGGCAATATCATTGTCCATATACGTGGCGACATGGTACTGCAGCAGGGACTCAAATTCTCGCACCACGTGCTCAGGAGAGCCTTCCTGTTCGCATCTGGTAACATTCTGATTCGCACGTACGATCTCAGCCAGTTTATATGTCAAATCATCCTCTCCGCGCTGACCGCTTCCACTTCCACCTACGAGAACACTAGGACGGACTGGTGGAGGAGGGACTGGGAGAACGGTGATGATCATCCATTCAGGTCTCGCATAATCGTTGCTCAATCCCATCAAACGAACATCCTCTTCAGAAATATTCCTGAATATATTCAACGCCATCTGTGGCGTAATTTGTCGCTTCTCGGGCTGTTGGATATCCATGTCGTCCATCATATCGCGATTCTTGTTAGGCTTCCAAGTTCCAACCAAACTAATACCCTCTTTTCGGATTTGTGGCTGCATATTTCCGCAACCACCGTGGGAGCGCACAGGCTTCGAAGCTTCTTTCGAGAAAGGGTCGTCATCATCTGGGGTAGGATCAGCTTCGCAGATTAGGACGTCTTTAGATAGTCTCCAGATCGCATCAAAGCGTCTCTTCGGATCGCGGAAACGGAGCGCTTCCAAATACTTCTGGTCGTTCTGAATTGGTGAAAAGTGTCAGCAATGAGTGGTAGCTTGAGATCTGCCATCCCCATCAGGGATGACTAACCGTATTGGCCTTGATCTTTCCACAGTTATGGCAAACAGTTTCCAACAGTTTCTTGATCTTAGTCAGGAAACCTGTTGCAGGCGTTAGCTTTAGGTAGTCCAAGTGCAGTTAAGACTTCACATAAGCCTCACCAATATGGAAAACAGGTGTGGAAAGCTCGATATGACCAAAATGCCCAGGGCAGTCATTTATTCCTTCTTCACAAGTGGCACAGCGCCAATTACGGTCAATGGTACCGAGACGTGGATCATTCAGACCTTTCTCACGGGGGCGTTGCCGTTGCTCGTCCTGTTTGAGCAGCTCCCATTAGTTCTGCAGGTCCCAGAAACAATTCCAAATAAAAAATATAAAAAATATAAAAAAAAAAACATTTGCAGGTGCACCAACCATAGTCTCTGGATACTCCACATGGACCACACTCATCCGCTTGATCTCCTCAGGGGAGAGAAGACCAAACTGAATCTCCTTTATCGTGCGCAGCTGCGCCTTGGAATAGGGGAATTTGACAGATGCCATGGTTGCGGTGGATGACAAACGTGAAGAAGTTTGAAGGGGGAAGGAAGTTGACAACGGGTGAGGTGAGGAAAATAGCAACACGGGTTGAAGATAACGGTTGCTAGGTGGTTAATAGTCGACTGAGCAGTGTGAAACCCGTCCTCCACGAGAAAAGTAGTGCAGAAGACAGCAGAGTCAAATGCTAGGAATCATCAAAACGACCACTCTGGTGATGAAAAGGACCGTGATGGCTGGCCTTCGCCGGCCTTTTGGCAGACCCTGCCGCGAGGGCGCCTTCGACCCGTGCAACACACTTCGAACGTGATTTCCAGGCAGAAAAGAGGGTAGTCGTTGAAAATAAAGTATCAGGAGACGTCAAAAGGGATACCGCGATGCAGAACACGATATCTCCTGGTGGTGTTGATGGCTGGGGGTGATGTCTGGATGATGAATGGATGATGAAAGGAGGTTGTGTTGCTTGTTGTTGAGAGTTGCCTCTCACTTAGCCCTTGCACTTTAGCCTGAGTTTTTTCCAGAGCCGCATCTTCTGCGCTAGCGACCGGCCCAACTATTACCCACCCACGCTAGCCTGTAACATGATATCTTGGCATTGCCCTTACCCACCTTCGGAGTGGCAAATGCGCTTGTCTTGGCAGGAGATGACTCATTTAAGATACAGCGCAAGTAGTTTGGATGCGTTTTAGTACTTTTCTAGTTAGACTACGCTGTTTTGGGACTAGCGCCGTAAATTTTGCACCTCTCAAACCATCAGGAGCATTAGATAAGCTCAATCGGAGGGCCGTGAGAATCCCCACCAACATCAACGGGCGTCAACCAAAACAACTTATTGAATTACTGCCGCCAACAATGACGCCGGCGAGGAAAACCCCTCAACAGCCCAGTTACTCGCAGGCTGTATCCTTGTCCTGGTTGACCAAATTCCCTCGATGATTTCGTGTTCATATTGCCAATATTCAAACCACGACCCACCATGAATCTCGCCCTAATCGACCCTTTCGTCCTCGCGCAAGACTATCCAGATGCCCTGACAGGCAACCTACGTGTGTTCTTATACCTCAAAAATTGTTTCTCATATATTGCACTATTAGTCTAATAATATACCCCTCTATAGGCAGTGGACATGCTACATGTTTAAGATTCAATCGTAAGGGTGACTTCCTGGCCTCTGGACGGGTGAGCATCTCTGATATAAGAACCTGATATAAAAACCAACCACATGCGCCATGCAACTAAACTCTGAGTTTAGGTAGATGGCACCGTCGTTGTATTCGACGTGGAGACCAATGGTGTAGCACGAAAGCTACGGGGGCACAGCAAACAGATTCAATCACTAAGGTATGGTAATCTTTTGTTCAAATGGGAGGCTCCAATGGAACCTAACGCGCAACAGCTGGTCAAGAGACGGTAGATATTTGCTCAGTTCCTCGCAAGACTGGAAGTGTGTGTTGTGGGATATGAAAGATGGCACCCGCGTGCGAACTGTCAGATTCGAAGCCCCCGTATACATTGCAGAACTCCACCCATTTAACCAGTATGCGATCCGCCCCATATCCCACATTTCTCCCAAGAATTAGCTTTTGTTCTAACACACATGCCTCGTAGCTGGCTCTTTGTCGCATCGCTATTTGAAGAGCAGCCAGTTCTCGTCGATATATCCTCTCCACGGCCAGTTAAGCGCATCCTACCATCCGCTCCCCTTCGACCCCAGCTCTCCGAAGACTCAAACCCAGCAGTGGCCGCAAAACAAGCCGCACAGGACGCGAAACATTCAACCTGTGTTACTATCTTCACCGCATTAGGTAACCACATTATCTCAGGCACCTCCAAGGGCTGGATCAACATCATCGAAACTCAAACGTGCACCACAATTCACTCAACCAGGCTTTGTAACGGTGTCATTATCCTCCTCCGCCTTGCCAATAACGGCCGTGATCTGCTCGTTAACAGCTCCGACCGCGTTATCCGCACAATAATCATGCCCGACCTGTCCCAGCTAGGCGTCAGCCTCGATCCCTCCGCCATAAAACTCGAGGTTGAACACAAATTCCAAGACGTAGTCAACCGCCTTAGCTGGAATCACGTCGCTTTCTCATGCACGGGGGAATTCGTCACGGCTTCCACCTTCATGAACCACGACATCTACGTCTGGGAACGTAGCCATGGCTCTCTCGTTAAGATACTCGAGGGCCCCAAAGAGGAGCTTGGTGTAGTGGAATGGCACCCCAGCCGTCCAATGGTGGCAGCCTGCGGTCTCGAGTCCGGATGTATATATACATGGTCAATAGTGAGCCCGCAAAAATGGTCTGCCCTAGCGCCGGATTTCGCCGAGGTAGAAGAGAATGTCGCGTACGTTGAGCGCGAGGATGAATATGACATCCACCCCGCAGAGGAAGTGCATCAGCGTCGTCTAGATTTGGAAGACGAGGAGCCGGATGTTTTAACCATTGAGCCGGTTAAGGGCGAAGAAGAGGAAGATGGGGGTGCATTACATGCTTTCCGCATGCCTGTCTTACTCGATATAAGTGATAGCGAAAGCGAGGATGACATTGTAGCTGTGGGGCCTGGTACGATGCGGAGAAGAAGTCCCGGTGCTTGGAAAGATTCGGTTAATAATAATACTGGTGGTAGTAATGGTGGTGAAAATGGCCTTGCTGCTGTTACGAATACTGGGGCGGGCCGGGGGGGTCAGAATAAGGGTCGACGAAAGTAGGGAGAAGGAAATAATTAGAATCATGGTGTACCATGAACGACTCTAGACAAAGGGTCTATGCATGCACATCTACCTTATATCAATTAGCGATCCGGAGTTTAAATAGGCGTTGATAACTTTGATGATTATTGTTGAATTCTTTACATTTGTCACATTGACCAGTATCTGTAACATTAAGGGCAAATAGTATAATTGGGAGCCCTTTTACATGTACAAGTCACATTCATAATATTGAAACAGCTTTAGTCTTCTTTTCCCACTTTCTGAGAAGACATGGAATATATATATCGTTATATATAAATATTTCACTTTGCTTGGCACTTCTTGAACTGAAGCCCCAACACCGGATCGAGACGGGGGGTCCTACGGCTCGAGATAACAATTTCAAAGCAGCAGATTTGATTTCAAATTTCCCATAAATAATATGCGGGCAATAATAAAATTCATCTCGCCCAGCTCTTGAAACTACGTCTTTACCTTACTCAACAACCAAAAAGCAAAAAGTAGACAGGAGGGAAACGATAGAATATGGAAAAGCGAAGTCTGAGCACTTTCGCTTCGTTACAGATTTTAAAACGCTGTGTGAAAACAAGTGAGAGGAATCGAGGCAAATTTTAACCGGCCAATAACTAGTTATCGCTTAGCGCCCGACAAAATGGGAACCGGAAAGCCAATTGAACAAAGAAAAACGAAACGCAATACTAAGTATTTTAAAAACAAAAGGAAAAAAAAAAAAAAGAAAAAAAAAATGGGGGGGAAGAAGAAGAGGAGGGCTAAATAAAGGAACAGATGGAAGTTTGCTCTGTTGTTCTGGCTTCTCTTCCTTGAATGGAGGGTTTGGAAAGATAAATAGAAATGGCATTGGGTATGAGAGACTTCTTTTTAACCAGTTTTGAAGAATTTTAATCATATTGTTTTGTACATGCAAGGGAATAAATTAGAAGACGTATGGTAAGTCGATGAATATACTTCACTAAACAGGATGGATGCCAGAGAGGAATTATAGAATGAGGGATGAACTATATACATTTATGTGCAAGCTATGCTATGTTTGAAGAATAAAAAGAGATTAAATGATATAGAAAGTAGATCAAATCATCGTAAGAAAAGTGCTGCCATATAGAGATATGATGAATATCAAGATCCCATCTACAGCTTATGAAACAAGAAAACGAAAAAAGAGAGAGAGAGAGATAACACAAAGCAGTGACACAAGCAAAAATATAAACAAAAAATCATGTAACTATTTTTTCCCTGTCACCTTTGCTGTTTTCCCAAACCGATCTATGTGTGTATCATCATAAAAACAAATTTATGTTGCTCATGCCCAGAACATGGGAAGGGGAAGCTGCATAAAAATAGCGTTAGAGGATAAAGTTGGGAGAGCTAGGCCCAACGGAAGGACGACGGAAATGGAAAAAGTTCAGGGCACAAGAAGTAAATAAGAGCCAATTTTTTTTTTTGGGGTCAAAACTCGTATGAAAAGGGTATGAGAAAATGTCTCGTGTTTTGGGGACGGATGAGGAACAACATATTTCCCATGCAAGTCACAGAAGAAGTAAAGGGAAATTCGTTATCGCACAATGTTGGTCGGCGGGCAATTATTGTGTTTTGTATATATCGGACAAATCGTTAATCTTGCTTAGACGTCGAGTTGACCAAAGCGAGAGAAATTTCAGGCTGCAATTATTTTGGCATTGTGTGTCCCCGTCCAATATTCCGGATTCTTCTCAGATATCGAGAGATGCATAGTGTTTCGAATTTGATAACGAGCCCGGCAGACCACCGACTTCTCAAGGGCCATCTCAGTTTCTGTGCTAATAAAGGGTCGGAAGGCCTCCGCTGTTTCGAGACGGCAAGGACTGTTGAACAAGAAAGATGGCAAGTTCGGAACGTCGTGCGCCAAATGTCTGTAGAGCAAGAGTTGCGCGTGGTCAAACTTGCTCGTGCTGAAGGAAGGTGTATAAGAACTACCTGCAAAATGGGGGGGAAACAATGTGGGAAAAAAAAGTATATGTTATCGGACTGGGTTGTCTGGCCGCCTGGCAGTATATACATGCAAGAGATTGTACATCCGGTGCTGTTTATCAAACAACTGTGTTCTTACTTCTTGGGCTAAAGAATCTATTTCTTCGACCGTCCAATGTTTTACACGGAAGAGAGGGGCCAAAATGAGAGCATATATGCTCTTCGAGAAGGCAAAACTATGCCATTTCCCAACGTCTTTTTCGTACTTATCATCGGGCCACGTGTTCAGCGGTAGGCCAACCATATCGTGCTTCGTGTCCACAAAGCCTGCTTCTTTCAACATATGGGTGGTGCTGCGGTTATGTGCGATCGGTCGGTTCGCCTCATTTGTTGCGTCTTTTAGGTTTTTGTACCATCGAGTAAGTGGCTGGTCAGGAGGAAGCCCGTCATGGCAACGCGGTTCAAAGTCGACTTCCACCTGTTCGAAATATCCAGTCCCAGGACGAAGGTGCTGTATAACCTTCTGGTATAAACTAGGCCAATTCGACACACTTCCACAGCCCATCTGGAGATGAATCATATCCCATGGCTCCTCCCCAAAACTCCAAGGACTCTCGAAATCTCGAGGGGCCAGAAAGTTACAATTCGGCGGACGCTCACGAGGCTGCATCGCAGTTAGGTCTATTCCTAGAACGTACGCATGCGGGTATTGAGCGGCCATATCCAATGCCCATATTCCCGTTCCACAGCCAAGATCTAGTATTCGAGGGCCTTGATCGACAGCTATTGGCGGGCCACTCCTTAAATTGCTCATGGGCGGTAAGGCATTGCTGATTGGAACAGAATGCAGAGTCCTACGAGCCGCTAAAAGCATTCTATGGAAAATATCCAAGCGATCCTGCTCTGCCTCATCGCACGGATACATATATATACCTCGGCGAAACTCGTGATACTGCCGTCCGTTCTCCTCGTAGCTGGCATTCCCGTTCGGGTTCTGATCCATGTGTCTATGTCCAACAAAGCGCTTGTCAGTAATGCAGATAAAAGCCCAACCAATATAATCACCAAATCACACAGGCACCTGGCAACTGTGGATAAGCAGTTTATATACATTTACCCCACCGCGGGAAACGGTTAGGACGACAAGGGTTTAAAAAGAAAGAAAACACCAAGAAAACGGAAGGATACCCAAAACTGATAGAACATACGCAGAAGTAACATTTCCGAGTGTTTCATGTTGTGGAGAGGGGAAGGCGCCTTTTCTATGGGTCTGCCTTTGTGGTGCGAGATCGGTGAGGGTGGAAAGGTCCATGATAGTTTTGCTGGGGTGGCCGGGTAACTACCGTCCAATGAGATAAGGATAGTTGGTATGTCAAACGGGATCTCAACAAGTTCCCTGGAATGCAAACGACCCACGGAAAGAGGGTGTGACCGGAGAGGAGAAGAAGCCGATCAAAGCAAGGGTGAAAGGGAAGACTGTGTTGACTCTAAACCACACATGGAGCATCAATATATCTATTATCATTTACTGTGGTGCAGAGAAGAATGGGGAACAGCACAGCATCGCCAGCGTTATGGGGACGCGTGCAGAGGAGTTGTCGCAGCACTGCTTGGGACGAGGATAAGTTGGAGGGACAGAAATTGGAACAAGAGCCGAGACAGAGGGTGCCAATTGGATGGTCCTTGGGCAACTGGGCGAGTGGCTGGCGGGAGAGGATAATCACACGCAGTCGCCTGGTAGAAATATGCAGCGAGAAAAGGGTGGGATGGGGATGGAACGATGGCACGCGGTACGGCTTGGTACAGGTTACGGGACAGACCGTACAGATGGAACCAGCTTTGGGCTACATGGAAGGTATCGTATGGTTCTGTATGGTACGTAGTATTATACTGGACAGCCCGGGTGGGGACGGCCCCGCCAGGAGAAGGAGAGTGAGCAGGGAAGAGGCCGCGGAGGATTGGCGAATAAACCAGGAGAGGGCAGCCAGGAGCCAGGAGGGAAGACAATAGGGGGAGGAGGCCTGGAGGAAGAATCGAAATGTTGAAGGCATCTTAGCTGACACCGATTTATGAAGACGATCGAGAAAACACCTGCTCTCATTGACAAACTTGGCATTAAGGAGAGGCTTTGTTATCACAACCATGAGGCCAGGATTCCAAACCAGATGCACGATGAAATTATTCCAGGATTGGTGATAAGAGAGTGATGGAGACGATACACATAGGTTCGGTCAGGGGTTGAGCCTGACAGCGCGGAATTAGCTATGTAGTCCATGGATCCTGCGAACCGTGGTCAATTTCAACAATATATTCTAATACGTAAAATCTCATTTGGAGGGAGAGAAGAATTCCTGCATCCCTCCCCACACAATGGCACGAGGCAGCCAACATCCAGAAACAAGCGAGAACTCTCACAATTATCCGGGTCTGGGGTATCAATAGCCCGTCCTTTTTTTCGCTAATGCACAAATCCCCACCGTCATCCTAACACCAGAAGCGAAGCAAATCGGAGAACGAACCAATTATTATTATTATTATTATTATTATTATTATTATTATTATTATTTTAATGTTTCCCCAGGAAATTGATATCTGCTGCGAATGAGAACCAGAACAAACTAATTTTACCAAGAGGGAATTGATTCATATCATTTTTGAGTCATTGTTTAACTAACTACCGCAAGGAGGTGACTAACGCGATTTAGGTCAGTGTATTGCATGCATTAGCAACTTCTCAGGGAAGCGATTGGCTGACGTATTTGGCCGGAACAAAATCTCTAACAGTGTGAGCAGCCGCAGTTTGCTGCCACTATCAACGAGGAAGACAGAAACATCACCCGCCCGCCAGCCTTTCACATGCAGTTATGTATCATATCAGCGCAGTGGCCCCCATCCAAAATCCCGGTGGAGTGGTCATTGGTTGACGCTGGTAAAGTTATGTCACCACACCTCCGCTTGATTTTCTCTGTTGGGGTTGGGCATGTAGGCATGTATACAGGATGATACAGCTAGTACGCCAAAGGGGCAGCAGCATATATGCAGTCCTCGGGACTGACAGTTGAACGTGGTTTTTGAAATTCGGCTGGAAAAACATCCGGCGTGGGAGCCATACCTTACCCTCTCTCTGCAACTAAGGCAGTGATTTAACATTATTTCTCCGGTCCTTAACCTTAAAATAACCCTAACCCTAACCCTAACCCCAATCTACCTGCCCCGGATATTTATTTTAGATGGAGTTGATTATGGTTTTAAAAAAGTGGGCATAACCTATAAACCACATTCGACCTTTTTTAAAACCATGATCAACTGTAACCGCTATCAACATATCATTGAGCGGAATGCGCGTTGAGGGACTGAAATCCATTGCCCAAACAGGGGAACATGGTGGTCCCGTTGAATTTCGAGCTCTGGAAAAAAAAAAAAAAAAAAAAAGAAAAAGAAAAAGAAAAAAGAAAAAGAAAAAGAAAAAAGAAAAAGAAAAAAGAAAAAGAAAAAGAAAAAAGAAAAAAGAAAAAAGAAAAAAGGCCGCCGCTCGAACATTCCCCGACCTCAAGAGTGGCTGCCACATCCAGCAGGGTTCATTTTTTCAGGCAACCATATATGAACTGTGCCTTTGACTTCTCGACTCTGTCAACCCTTCCAGAGGCTTGAATGCCAAAGTTTTGCCCAGGTGGTTCGGAAGAAGCACTGCCCAATACTATGGAAACTTGACCTCCAGTCCAACATGCATAGAATTTGGTGCACTGACTGCTAACTGTGGATTAGTGGGTCTTGCCGGAAGTCAAAACGCCCCTTCGCCCAAACGACGATCATGCATATTCTCCAATAGTTGTAGTCTGACAGCGTTTCTATCTTCAGCTTTCGGGGGCAGGAATTTGGCTAGGAATAAGTTGTGATGTATGCACTGGCAAGAACACATATCTATGAACAGGAGTACATTTGGAGTAACTCTGGAGGGTGTTGCGACCGTTTGAGTTCCGATATTTCACAAAAACATGGTGTCTGTTGCCATGTTATTTATTATAGTAAGTTTCTCTCGTGAAGCTAGCAGTGAACATGTTGGGCATATGTGGCCCCGGGCTGCCGCCCCACCGCACGTGATATAGTGTATATTAGATAGCTAGCTGGGCCTCCCAATATGAGAGATTCAACCATCTCACAGAACTTTACCAGCTCTTGTGACTTGGCTTGGGCACCTGACCCAAGTACCCTGGTTTCTAAGAGCAGTGAATGTTGACGTATCAATTCCGGGGATATTAACTTAAATTATTGTAAGTTTCTCTGAATTGCGCCGATTTTGTGAAGTGGGTTATATAGCGTGGAAAACGCCCGCTGGCTGGCGCGTATGATAATCATTCGAGTCTCTAGCCATGCTTCTGCTCACTTTTAATTGTCTCATGAAAGCCTGTGGGAGCCTTGTTAAACAAATTCGAAAGAACAATACCACGGTCCCCAGCCGTGCATTATGATTGACAAGAGAAGAGAGAGGCCAGGTACGGCACTGACACAGTTAATATTTCCCTTGCTCGAGCTTTCTTCTCGTCTATCACCACCCCCTTAGGGGAAAAAAATTAAAGACCAAATGAATGCTAGAGATCAGCCGCTAATACGATTCTTCAACCACCAATGTTCCCCAGTATTTCGGCTGTGATTAGAAAATGGTAGAACCTCTTCCTTGCATCGCGGAGGAGGACCTTTGTGGTATTTTGTGTACTCTTCTCAAAGATAGAGTCCATCAGACATGGTGGTCTAGTTTTATTGTTGCTAACAAGGTTACAAGCCATTGCAACACTTAGGGCGATAGTGTGGGGTTAACCCTCTTCTGGATGGAGGACAATCTTCTCGCAGCATCGCTTGGAATGACAGAGGTACGGAGGTTGTGGATGATATGGCCGTCATTACCATCCAATCAACTCGTCTTCCCTCTGCCCTTCGAAGGAGAAGAAATGATGGAGGTCACGATGAAAGAAGTTAAGTTGAGGTTGAGGTTGTGCTGATTGACATCACCAGGAAGATGGATAAATCGGCGATCCCCAGCCATCAATACCTCTTGGTACGCCCCACTGATCGTAGAGTACAACTGTATTAAAACCTCGGTACATTATATACAGACCGGTACTTTGTCCAAGGCGCACAACCGCAATCCATCCAACGCTGCGTTTAACGAATCTACTCAAACCGATAGCCTTGGCTGGTTGGCAGGGGTCTCCACATTGGCTATCAGTGAGAAACTCGCTTGCTGGGTGGCTTTCCGTCCCAACGTGTCGGATCACCAATCAACGCTAAATGCAGCGGACCGCCAATGGCCCCAGCGCCCTGGCTAACCAGCTCATGGTTCATTGAACCTGCAGAGGTTTGTGCCAAACATTCTGATTACCAGTACTCGGTTCGATACTCCGGATTGATTCATTAATACAGCTAGGTATCGCCGTTTCCTTCAACGATACGCTCCAACCCAGGGAAACTTTCGTCCAAACTTACATTACCGCTGTATGAACGGTAGCGAAACCGTATATGCGGTATGATTACGTACATTTACATTACATGGAACACATGCATAACGTGCTGTGCCCAAGTAATAATGTCAACCGGTGAGACTGTTAAGAGGTATCTTGTACGGAGTACGGGATGCTTGCATGTTAACTCAGCTATATCATGGGAGAATTTGTGACCTTCCAGCAATATTAATACAGTTCCCTCGGGCTGAGAAATCCAACAGCGCCTAGAGCTTCGGCTGCATTGTGTGGACTGACTCGAGAAAAACCAAAAAGACCAATTTTTTTTTTTTTTTTTTTTTTTGCCCTTCCAGTCAGGTGATCATTATATGTGACAATCAACCCCTATCCCAGCTATCAATCAACAGACAAAGTTCATGCCAGCCTGGATATATTGAACGGATTATTCGAGTCTTGAATGGTGTGATGTCAAATGGCCTCCCCATCACAGCAACTATTGCACCAGAAAGGCCAGTCATCTCTCTCCCTTCCTGCTGGAAGCTACATCTACTCTTTGTGTCAGAGTGGTGATGATGCGTTGGTCGCGATTTCATCGGATAACTCGCTACGGCGCTTTGATCGCCAGACATTAAACATCCTTCCTGACGGGATTTTCGAAAACATCCATCCCGGTCGAGGTGGCGGGGTGACTTGCGTTTGTGAGGTCCATACCACCACGTTTGGAGGGAAGAACCTGATTGCTACTTCGGGTAGAGATGGGACGATAAAGCTGTGGGATGTCAGGAATAAGAGGACAGATGCAGCCGTAAAAATCACTGCAGGTAAAACAACGATAATTTAACAACTCATGCCTAGGCACCGTTCTTAGCACCCGTTTCTCCCATGTCCTAACCCCTAGCACTCGATACTCCATGAGGATTAGTTCTCTGCCGCTTCAATTTTTTTTTTTTTTTTTTTTTTTTTTTTTTTTTTGGAGGGGGGGTTATAGCTACCGTTTTTTAACTATCTCAACCCATGAGAAACTTCAACGTTCAGCAGACATTCAAACACTTGACACTTGATATAGCGCTGATCAATACCTTCTGCAGATAAGTCGGCACCTATCACCGCACTTGCCTGTAGCCTAGATCCATGCACAATTGTCGCTGGCACCGAATTTGTGTCATCACAATCCTCAGTGATATTTTGGTAAGTTAGTTAGGTTCACTGTACTGAACCCTTGTCCTTCGAGGCTGAGGTAGCCACAGCTTCAGGGGAGAATTGGGCTATTATCAGTTCCTTGTTACCTCCCCCCAGAATAAACCTGTATCAAATCATGGATTTTTACGTTGTCATTGCTGTGGCGGTTTGGTGTAAAGGATATATGCTGCACGAACCCCTCCTACCCATTTATTGCATAATACACGCACTCTGTCTCGTATAGATTAACCAACCATTTTCAGGGACATAAGATCTACTGGACAGCCCCGTTTGCAATACACGGAGAGCCACAACGATGATATAACTGAGGTAATTTAACTTTGCTCCCGTGTTTTGTCATTCAACCACTGATATCTTTTCGTTTCCCCTTTTACGTTCGTTCTGGGGTCTGCTGTTGGCAGCAAAACATTTACAAATCCCCCTCGATTTCCCCCCCTCCCCTACTGATCCATTAGTAGTTGCAATTTCACCCTACTCGACATAATATCCTCCTATCGGGAAGCACAGACGGACTAGTCAACATCTATGACACAACCATTTCGGACGAAGACGACGCCATTCTACAGGTCGTTAATCATGGGTCGATCCATCGAGCTGGTTTCCTGGATGAACAGGCCATCTTCGCCCTAAGTCATGACGAGGTCTTCTCAATCCACCCTTTGAACAATCCCAGCGAGAACGCCCCAGATCCCGCAGCTATCCAGTTTGGTGATCTCCGTCCTGTACTACAAAATGATTATGTTGTGCAGGTTCTTAATGGACATGGGGGTACATTTGTGGCCTCCGGGAAAACGAGGTTTGAATCCGGTTCCCCTTGAATTTTCTTTTTCCTTTCTTGATACCCTCACGAGCACTGCACACAGGATCTTTTGTCTGTGCTTCCTCACAGAATATTCATTCCCCCCTCATTTTCTTTGTGTGGAGGAACTATGTCGAATTTTGTGCTGATTATTTATCCAAGTGAACAACGGTTCGACCTCACACCCTTGATCTCGTCAGCCAAATATGACCTCGACCTCTCCAAGAGGTGGATAATGCCGGGGGCCCATGGTGAAGAAATTATTCGATCAGTATTGCTTGATGATAATGTGTGTAGAATGAACTCTTTTGTTTCATTCACATTTCTGTTATCCGTATTTTCCCGTGCACTCTTGTCACGCTGCTGGAATCTGATTCTAACAACCAAAACAAATCCACAGTCAAAAACGATTTTCACCTGCGGAGAAGACGGGCACGTCCGTGCGTGGAAGCTCAACGAGAGAGACCAGGAAGAAGTCAGGCATTCACCATCGGAAGTTCCCAGCAAGCACACTACGCAGGAAGACATGGCGCGAACGAAAAGTCATCGATCGAAAGCCAAAGTTCGTAAAGAGAAACGGCAAAAAGAGCGGGGATTCAAACCATATTAAGTTCTCACCCAACTTCTCTGCATGCGTCCTGCTACGCTTTGCCCTTTCAATAAAAGTTGGTTTTAATCGAGATGCACATTTGGCTTTTGCGCAGCAAATAAAAACGTGGTCTAAATTCCGTTCGCTCTTCATTGTCCCATCTGCGGCTGACAGCGGGAGATGAAGGTTATTTTTTTCATTGCCCTTTCACCTGTAAAATAAATGACAAATGAGAAAAGGACAACAGAGAAGAAGAGATTCTAAAAAAGGGTTTGATTACCCAGGGTAAAAAATACCTGTCTTCAAATTTTAGACAAACCATGATTTTACTCTGATTGTTATTACTGGCTTCCTGCAAATATTTCGGCCCTCATCCCCTTAAACAGCAACCCTCCCATTCTCAAATAAACCCTGGCAAAATGAAAATACGAGCTGCAGTCATATCTTAACAATTTAAAAAAACAAAATAAAAATAAAAATTAAAAATTAAATTAACACACGCATGTTTAGCAAACACGCTGGCCTACCATGAGTAGTTTCTGCGTCTAATCACCCCACTAATGCTGAAGGGATAAACTAATCTAAGTACGTCGACGGAGGATGGAGTAACTTGTGTATCATCATCCGCTCTCTTATCTCCTTCTAATGCTCGAGTTGCGTGATGGAATTAAACATGAAATAAGGAGAGGATTTCTAAGATCCAGGGAATCCAAAATGTCCAAATTGGAAAATGATATTCTCCTCCCAGTAGCATATCTGCATACACGCTGATTACGGGCACATAAATGCATCGATACCCCGATGTAACGCATGAGCATGCTACCTATGAAAAAAAATGTGATGTCCTTGCTCTGTGGTATTGGAGGTTGTCGCCTTTAAGTATATGAACACCTCAGGATGTTTGTACACCTCAATCAATCCCTTGAATATTTACGTGGCGCCTGTAGCTGGACGATGGGCTGGGTTATTATGTAAGATATTGCAAATTCAATAGGTAGTTACCAACCAGTCCACTTTTATGGGAGAGGTCAGATTACGGAAGAGAGGGCCCGAACAGAATCCCCGTTCTCCCCACCCAGTAATCGTGTGTAAGTCACCTGTAAGGGTAATCCTTGAAGGGTAAAAGAATTATTTCTGTGACGTGGAAATAGAAAGGATGTGCTACTTTTTTTTAAAAAAAAAAAACCTCTACGGGTGCCAAGTTCTCGTGCATATTGGAGTGCTGCCGTAAACTTCTTCCAAATTTATGTGGATAATGGCGAAGTACGGAGGCGTATATGAGAGGTGCGTGTGTGGAAAATAGGTGGGCGATTCGATGTAACCCACCAAATCAGAACAGCAGGGTTCACAAAATTACATATCCCACTTCGTTCATCACTGACGGTGGTATACGGAGAATCCATTGTTGCAATATATTGGAACTGTTCATCTCATCATTTATTATTATGATTTCTGAAAACACTCACTACCATGTCATAATCACCCATCCTTCTCTGTGATACCATTGTTTCACAATTTATTCTTCTTAATATAAATGGCCTGTGCATTGCAGAAGCTCTTCAAACCACCAATACCACCCTCGTAGCCGATGCCACTCTCCTTGTGGCCTCCGAATGGTGCGAACGGAGACATCTCCTGGTGGGTATTGATCCATACCGAACCGGCTTCGATCTGGTCCCCAATGCGTCGTGCCTGGGTCAGATCATTGGACCACACAGAGGAACCTAGTCCCATCTTGGTGTTATTGGCAGCCTCAATGACAGCAGCTTCATCATTCCAGGGAATAAGTGGGACAATTGGACCTATGTGTTTGTTAGCGATATTTCATCAGTATATCGTTGACGGTAGGAAGGGAGAGAATATGATTAATGAGAGGTTCTCCGTTCATGAGGGAATCAAAACTTTGTTAAATTTCCATATATTAACTTACCAAATGGCTCTTCAACAACAATCCTCGAGTCAGCGGGCGGGGCATCAATGATAGTCGGTTGGACGAAATATCCTGGCTTCCGAATATCTGCATTTCCGCCGGCAGCAACAGTCCACTTCTCCTTCTCAATATCGGCGAAGAATCCCTTAACTCTCTCGTACTGCATTGAGTTCTGAATTGGGCCAAGGGATACTCCATCCTCATTACCCTCACCGACAACCAGGCTGTTAGCAACGCGACTGACGGCTTCGCGGAATTTCTCATAAATGGACTCATGAACATAGATCCGTTTAATTGCAATGCAGATCTACAATGGTGTACCGTTAGTTTTCCCGCTACCAATTCCTCCAGCGGATCGGGTGATATTCATGAAATATCGCAGCAAGGAAATTGCAAAATGACATACCTGCCCAGAATTCATGAATGCCATCATTGCGACCTGGGTATTTCCGGTTAGTCAAACGATTCTTTGATGAAATTTGTGTTGATAAAAGTAACCTTTTGTGCCACAGCTTCAATATCGATATCGGCGCAGATGATGGCAGGGTCATTACCGCCTCTATAAGTGAGAGTATATTTCAGCTTCATAAATTCAATCACGAGCACAACACTAGGTCAATATCATACAGCTCAAGTGTGACTCTTTTCAATGTCTTGCTTGCACTTTCCATGACTTTCTTCCCCGTCGCGGATGAACCCGTGAAACTGATTTTGGCTGGTCCCGGGTGTGCAGTCAACCAGGGTCCCAGACTATCGTCACCGCTAAGAGCCTGGATTACGCCAGGAGGAAAGGCCTTCTGTGCGATCTCAACAAGTTTCAATCCACAATAGGGGGTGAATGGTGATGGCTTGATAATGATAGTATTTCCGGTAATGACGGCGGGTGAAATTTTTAGCAATGCAAGGAAGAAGGGAAAGTTCCATGGGACAATGCCAACAACTACACCCAGTGGTGTGTAGCGGACAATGACCTGCCTATCGTCGGAGTCTTCAACAGTTTCGTCCTTTAGGGTAAGATTGACTCTACCTCTAACACTGGCAATTCCATTCTGGATCTCTATGGTAGCAAGGGTTACCTATGTTAGAGAGAGATGGGGAGAGGAGTGAAATTAGCTCTAACTTGTAGTCTGGGGCAAATGTATATCTTCCAGCAAAGGGCATCATACAGGTTTTCCTTGCTCCCGCACGAGCAGTTTGATGAACTCATCTTTATGTGCCTCCAAAGCATCGGCAAAGGTCAAGAGGGCCTTTTTCCTCTCTTCGATTGAAGTTTTGGACCAGAGTTTGAACGCAGCTTTTCCTGCCTCAACGGCATTGTCAACATCGGCGGGGGTAGAAACTGGCACTTCTGGATTGGGGTTGCCAGTGGCAGGATTGATGCCATGGCGGGTTTGTGCAGTCGTGGATAGTTTTCCCCCAATCACATTCTGAAATGTGGTAAAGTCGATAACGCTCCCCATGACGATTTTATTTATTTGTATTCAACAAAAAAAAAAAAAAAAAAAAAATTTGCTGTTGTGACAAGGCCTGTGATGGGTTGAAATGATAAAAGTTGAGGCCAGGACCAGAATATTAATGGGTCTTGAGATGTTGGTAGTGTCTGAAATCGAAAAGCGGGGAAGGGCATGAAGTTCCAGCACAGTCCAGGCACACGAATAAATTTGCGGTTTAACCGGCCTCGGACCGAGAACTGCGGAGACCTAAGCTTGTGGGTCAATATATTTCCCGATGATGGCATTTTGCTGTGGAAGAAAAGCGGAAGATTTCTGATGGGAAGACAGAGGATGGAGTAGCCACTAACTAGTTACCTATATACTGTATCACGCCGCTTTGTGGATTATATAAACCTCCTCCTCCCGCCGCTCGAACATCTTCTCTCCATCGTCCCTATTTTCCCTTTCTTTCCTCGTAATTCTCTTGTCTCGTGTGTGCCGTGCCCATCCCTTCCCCTTGGCCCTCACTGCTAGTGTCACCCGGCCCCGCTGTGCCGCCGCTGAAACTGTTCTTGACATGGTGACTATGTCCACTTCCCTTCTTCCCCAGTGCAATTTCGCCCCACTCTACTGTCAAGTTACCCTAAAATTATGCACAGACTGAGTCCCGCTACTGGGATAACTATCTGGTCTGCCCAGGACTGTGGCTAGCTGAGCAACAGTTGCATGACAATCATCTAGCATCCCTTCAGTCAGTACAACAATTTAGAAAATAAAAAATGAGAGAGATTACAATCTTTCCTTACTTTCTGCATGGACAGCGGCTAGTATTGCAAGGTGGTAGATGGCACTAATTTTCCTGCCTTGTTTTATCAGGATTTGACTGATCTTATCTTCATGATGTCAACATTTCTGAACCATGGTGATTCTTCCTGCGGAGAGAATGTGATGGAAGTGAGCAGGTAGAATGACATCAGCAGGATTTCTCTCATTCTCCTGTGTTGAGGTTGTCATAAACATAAAAGATGTCCATAAACATAAATGATGTCAACTTTCTGATCAAAATTGTTGCTTCAAAAAAAAAAAAAAATATCAGAGCACTATGAGCACAGCAAGCACCCTTCGTATCTTATCATTGCAAGCAGCAATTTCAACTCTTCACTGACAATGACACTCTCTCTGCTGAAACATGCTGCAGCACATGAGATTTCAGATAGATACATCAGCTCTGAGTTGTCAGTTTAAAATCTGATCTGTGTTTGAACAAAAATCCTTGACAGTGAATGTCTATGATTCTTGGAGGTCACTCAGATCAAGTCTTCTGATTTTGAATCAACTTCTGTCATGATTTGTCCACCTGTGTTTTTCTCACTCATCTGACAGTGAATCTGAATCATCATCTCTTGAAGATGACACTGAGTGTGAGTGTGATAGTGAAACTGGTGATGAAAGAAACAGCAAGGCAATGTCAATTCAGGACTTAAAAGAGAAGTCACAGATGCAGTCACAGTTGAGGTCACTTAACAGAACTCATCCAATCAGTATTTGGAGCCAGAGCCAAGGTAGTCAATGCAAGTGAATGTGAGATTCTCAGATATTGTGGACTGCAGAGGGCATGTATTAATGAATACAGAAGGTCTTGACTACACTGACAGTGACAAGAAGAATGTTGAACCATTGCTGCCATGGCTCATCCCTGATGCACTTCAGATAACATCTCTGAGAATGAAACCTTGAAGGAAACTCATGTCACCGTTGATGACTCTTTCACACACCACCTTGAGCCAGACACAAGCGGCTCACATATCCTGCTACATCATGAGGCTAGAGAAGAACATCTTGAATTTCTTCTGTGAGCACTCATATAGCAGTCAGAGAATGACATTGTGAAGGTCCATCCGAATCAGCTCAAGTGATACAAGAAGAGATTGAATGTTGGGCTTGCAAGAAAGGCCTTTCAGGAGAGAAAGTGAGCACAGTCTCCTTTTCCAGAGCCTAGAAGATCATCATGTCAGAAAAAATCACAGCAGTGCTAAATATAGGTCCAGCAGATGAAAGTCAGTGAATTACCCTTATTTCATTGTTGTCTTGTATACTTGTCTTGCCAGTATATCTGAGTTACTTGAGAATAGAGAATATGTAATGTGAGGCCATGCATTTATCTGGATTGTAAAGTTGAGTGATTAGAATCTGTCCAGCCAACAATGAACACTATGTATGTGATATTCATTTTGGAATACTTCAAGTATAAAAACTCTAGCGGAGGAGTGGTGACCTGATTCAATCACTGGTCAGATGATAAACCTCTTTCTGAGCTGTCCCACACCAGTACATTTGCAACAGGAGCAGTCCACATACAACAATCCTCCAGAGACAAGATCATATACATCGAATTCCATGCCATCCATGGCCAAGATCACACTCTTTCACATCAAAGTTGAAGACAAGAAGCCGTGCGTGTAAGGACTATCCAATATGCAGCCGTACCGTATGTAGGTGTGAGGGATATTTTCACACAATTTCATCCCTTTAAAGTTTCGGGTTTGCCAAGTTTCATACCATTGTCCTAAGCAGCAAATTAGCTCTTGAAGCTCTTGAGTCCGGTGTACCTGACCTTCTCACGTGCCACCTGAAATCCTTATAGTACTGCCTGACTTCAGGATACCTTGACGCCCAACTCTCAACTCTAGCCTACGAAGCATCCCTCATCCGGCTTGATAGTCCTGCAAGGAGGTTTGATGCACTTGAATTCCAGTGGAAACTCCTGCAAAAGATATTCAAATCCGCCAGCTTCCATGTTGCCTCGTTTATAAGTTGCAATGGTGCTACTATACCACTTTTTCAGCTTGCTGTCTTTCAGCTTGTCCTGTCTCTGTCTCTATAGCTCATTTAGGCTTTCCCAACCGTGATGAGCACATTGCCAGATAAGCACGTGGAAGAACGACTCAAGATCATGATGATAGGTATGGTCGACATTAAGCAGCACCTCAATCGCCATGAACTCCATTTGCTGGTCTGGTGCTGTGCACCACTGCGCTCACTGTCAAATTCTTTGGCAAGGTCCAGATTGATTAGCATGCCAGAGTGGCCATCCGCCTTTTCAGGGTCAGTTATTATTATATTGTTCTTGGAAATATCCCAATGAAGGATGTTCCCGTCTGGGTAAAGAGACGGGTGCGCCTTTATTGCATCATGAAGCGCCATGAGCAGTTCTAAGAGTGATTCATACTTGTAGATTGGCCGGCCAGTGGGTGATATCACCAGACAGCAGAAGATACAGTTGTCATAGAGTTCCTCGCCATTCCTGTCGAAGAGGCTTGGCTCGTGCGCTGACTGAACAGAGAAAGCTAGTTCATTCTCCTGCTGAGTGGCCCTCGACGGTTGATTGATGTGAAACATCATCTTTTGAACGCCCGCATCCCCTTGTCCGGAGATCTGCGTTTCCTGGAAGATGATTTTCGACAGATATCCAAACAACAGGGCTTGGTGAGCGGCTGAGATTGATAAAACAAGGAGGTTGTGCTTGGAGGTGCGCTTTTGAAGTCGTGGCGCTTGTCATCGAAGGTCAGGCCAACCTAAGAAGTTAGCAGTGTTCGTCCGAAGGCAGCCTGTCAACCAAAAACATCATTGCGTCACCGAAGAAGCCCGTTCAGACTAGGTGCAGCAGTAGAGATAAGTTTCATTTATTTTGCCCCGTATATGATCAGCTTCCTGGAAGAAAGTCATGGTTCTGGTTAGTGTTTGGCTATGGTCTAAGTTGCTGTAAATTGTAGATCACTCACTAGTGAATCTGCGAGTTGAGACACCATCAGCTCTTCATCCTCAATAAATCCTTGTTGCCCTTCAGTAAGGCTATTTGTGGGGTAGGTCTGAGCTCTGTCGAAGTCTAGCCAGATCACTCTTTCCGGGTCATTACTGACAATCATCACGTCCCTCGGTTTGGCGTCACAATGTAGAACTAACGCTCTGTGAACCGCTCTGCGAACCCTCCCTTCCTTGCTCTCTGCTCTGCTCATCTCTCGGATGCCATGGTTCAAAACCTCTCCCCGCTCCTTGGTAAAACTGTGCGGATGGATCATTTCCATTCTAGGAATGTACTCCAAGAAGATGGCGCTAGGAGGATTCTTGTCATTAAGAAACATCTTCAGGTGAGGTTGATACGGGATAAGCCCATCTGTTCCATTGTCCCTTGGAACTGACGCACGATTCCACAGTCGCAATGGCCGTACTTCACCAGTCGTCTGTAGGCAGTCGATTCGCAGATGTGAATGTTTGTTTCACGCTCAGGGGTTGCAGTCTTGACTAGGCCGTTGTCATGATGCTGTCTCAAATGTTAGAATGGACCAACGTTTTGAAGAGCTCAAGGTCACAGACCATTTTCATTACGCATAACTATCTTGCTGCGAACATGAACAAGGAATATTCCTGAGAATTCTGAACTGAAAAGCTTTCGCTTAAATGTTATCTCAGAGGGTTCAATGTCACTAAAGTCCATTGTGCTGTGCTGTGCTGTGTTTAGAACTTCGAGTTTCTCATCGCCTCAAAATGACTGTGGGGAGGTGCTGAACCTTAACGTAATCCACCACCCAACGCCCGTTTACACCCAACGCCCGCCATTTCGCCATCACTATGATGAAATATTTTCAATGTTATTTCAACAACGCAATTAGATTTTAAGATGATATATTATAGGATGAAAATATATATAGAAAAATTACATATAAAAATATATAGCTAATTCAGTAAATGTTTGTTTGGCTTAATAACTTGCCCAGAATGTGAAATCTTGAATGGAGGCAGATTCAGTAAGCAAGCAGTCATTAAATCAGTAGAGATTGCAATATTGTCATATCCCTCTGACAGGGCTCTGAAAATGCAATTTAGTCACTCTTTGTGAAATCAAGGGTCTACTTTCCTGATTAGAAAGGTGATTTTTGAATTCTTCAATCATCTTCTTATTCAATTGTGATTGTAGCTGTACAGCAGCTCATTCTTCCTTTTCTTTTTGCTCCTGAGCCTTTTTCTCATCTCTAAGCTCCTTGTCAATCTGCCATTGAGCAGCTCTTGAAGTCTTATTCATTTTCTTTTGCTGTTTTGTGGTCTGGTGAGCTGCCTCCTGCTCCATCCTCTGCTGAATGATATCTGCCTCCTTCTGTTCCTTAAGAATAGTGTGTTGCAGCTTTGCATCCTTCTTATGAGCTTGCTCATTCTTTTTGACAACCTCTGAGGCTATCAAATTCTCACAGATATTCTGCACCTTTGCTGGTGAGAAGAACTGCATCAATGATGAATTCAAGAGATCTAGCAATCTCATTGCTCTGCCACACTTGCAACATCTCCTCTCTTGATTAAAAGCTTTTTGAAGCTGTCAATTCTCTATTAAAAGAATCTCTTTATCAAGAGCAAGATTTTCCCCTGCACAGATCACCTGGTTGAGATCATTAGATATTTGATACTGCTGTTGCTTGATTTGCTTCATCAATTTTCACAGGCCAACAATAGAAGTAGGTGTTCTTGATTGATATATTGCATCTGGAGAGGTGCAAGATTGTATTTGAAGCTTTTTAAGAATGCATTCTGAATTGAATGGATGTAGGCCAGTAGCAGCAAATGCAGCTTCAATATTTGAAGATGTAACTACCTTCTTCCACACAGTGTCAAAAAGCTGTCAAAAAGACCTCTTTGTAGTGTGTATGAATTCCATTCCAGTTCTCATTCATTCATTCAGTTGTTTGGAATATGATTTACTCAATGATTCAAATATCTCAACATTTAGTGGCTGTAATCAGTGTGTAGAATGAGAAGGAAAGACAATGAGTAGAATTCAATTCTGATTTGCATAATTGATGAATGCCATATTAACATGAGATGAGTGGTCATTCAATATAAGAAGTCTATATTCATAGTCTGTGTAGAGGATTAAGCTCTAAGAACTAGAGGCTAGTCCTCCTATATAACAAGGACGAATTGCTTGGGAAAGGGAAGAAAAGAATGAGATGAGAACACGAGCTTAAGCAAGCTCACATAGCATGATCACATGCGCATGTGCAAACGATGGCTAGGCTGAGTCAGCCAGCCAGAGTGAATCTAGGGGTTCAGCCCCTTATAGTCTGCCTTCTTTTTTGTAAAAGATTCAAAGATCTTCTTTAATCACATTAACTCATATTCATCATTGCTTCACTCATTTTCTGAAGCAGTGAAGTAGGCCTGATCCTTTTCACTATCAAAATCTTCAAGCCAAGTATCTTGTATATCTCTTGATTCTTCTTGATATATGAGAGCAGATGGAAGTGAAGTTCTATTTGTGCAAATTAAGACAAGTAATATTATGAATTCTCAACTGCCATCCTGGCTGGCACCTATCATATAGTCTGATTTGAGTAAATTAATCAATACAATATGTTTGAGGGTGTGAATGAATTCTAATAGAAATTCTTTCTCATCAAAGTTGTAGATATTCATAGATTCAAGATTGTATTTCATGATTTTTGTCTGCAGCTGAAAAATTAAGATAAATTAGCAAGATGAGAATTAAAAAGATAGTATAAGAAAGAAATCTATTACAAGATCAAAATAATGCTTGAAGAATGCAGAATTGTCTGCAATCTTGTGTTTTTGATTGATATTTCACAGATAGAGTGACTTGATCACATCCTTGTGACACTCACAGAACTGAGTCACCCAGTTGACTTCAATAGATGCTTTTAGAATCTCAACAACAAGATTATGAAGGATTTGGGGCATACAAAGGAAACTGCAATCTGCCAATTGATTGATATGAAAAAGGAGCCATTTTTCTTGCAAATCAGTGAGGGCTTTGAAGTGGATAGAGCTTGCTTCCTTTCTTGACATTTGAATGCCTCTATAACGCCTTGACAACATATATCAGCTGATTCCATATTTTTTACTGGTCTCAGTGTAATTAGGCATTAATTGCGTGTTCAAATCATCAATTGCGGCTTGTATAACTGCTTCATGGTGCATGTTGTGGGTGGTTAAAGATGAATGAAAAATGAAGATTTGAGCGGGCGTTGGGTGTAAACGGGCGTTGGGTGGTTGATCACGTTATATGCGATATAGTAATATGGGTGTTGTGGAACAAACCTTTCCCCGCACCAGTCGCCAAACACCCTAACACGCCAATCACACTCTTCCCCCAACGACCTACAGAAGTTCACTCAGCAGTTCACCTTGCAACATAAAATGACTTCTTACCCCTCTCCTTTTCAATCAACATGGCCCAACGTCAAAAAGTATCAGACGTCAAGCGTCGAGCGAAGCCAAACATCTGAAAGAGAGCACAAGGTGAGCCACCCATGTTTTCGACCAGCTGCCTTTTAACTGACCATTCATTGATAGGGAAGCAGCCTCGAGGCGTCGAGAAAAAACAACCACGGAGACCTGTCCGCCGAAGCGCACGCCTAAGCGCACGCCTGGGTCAGAAATCATGGGGCGGAAACGCGCAGCAAAACCATCCTTATACCACTCTCAAGGAAAAGGTATGTTCCCTTACTCCTACGACTCTACGAAATTAACTGAAAGCCAAATCACAGCCAAATCCGTCTGCCTGTCTGCAGGCTAAAGGGCTAAAAAGGAAGAGACTCCAAGAAGCGGAAGACTTGTTCTGCATTCCAGCCAACCAATTTCAAAAGCGACCACGAACATCTACCGCTGCGGACACAGCGGATCAGGAGGTGGCACTTGGCGTCTACGATAACAGGATTAATCCTATCCATTGGTGGACGCAGAGCGGAGTCTGGCCCAACGAATACTTCCAAGAGGGTTACAACATGAGCCGTCTACTTGCACGAAAGAAGCTGACATCTTCTCTTCGCCGCAAAAAGTCAGAATCTAGTTCTGCCGCCAGCTCTACCGCCAGCTCTACCGCACCCAGCGATCAAAAGTCAAGGGAAGAAAAGAATGCTCAATACAAGAATCCGCGCTATGAAATCCTGCTTCAAACCAAGGGTATCTTTATGAGGAAGTCGGACCTGGGTATAACAGATGGAGGCAAAGATCTTTGTCGACGCTTACTCGAGGCAGAGCAAACGATCCCAAAAGATTCGCTATTTAGAGATGATATATTTGATGAACTTTGTGAAATGATACGGAACCGAAACGAAGCAAGGGTTATTCAAGATGTTACTCGGCTTATTGTCCCTTCTGCACAAACTCTAGCCGTATATGGCGCAAGACATCTCAAGATCCTGGTTGAAAGCGTCAATGAATGCTGGGATAACTCAGTTTCCATAACTAAACCGCGTCCGCAACCTGATTATTCTGTGGGTTTTGGGCGTGAAGCATTCACGGATGGCCAGCTGCAGAGATTTCAGCCTTTCGTTGGTGATCTGACTGACACATCATACTTTATGGCGACATACTACCTGTACTTCCCATTCTTAACATGTGAAGTTAAGTGTGGCGCAGCGGCACTCGATATCGCAGATCGACAGAATGCCCACAGCGCCACTATTGCAGTGAGAGCTACCGTTGAGCTATTCAAGCTTGTGAAGCATGAAAAAGAGGTCGACCGAGAGATACTCGCCTTCTCAATCTCGCATGACCATACGGCAGTGAGGATCTACGGTCACTATGCTGTTCTTGAAGGAGACAAGACAAATTTCTACCGCCACCCAATCCACAAGTTCGATTTTACCGCTCTGGATGGCAAAGAGAAATGGACAGCGTACAAATTCACGAGGAATGTCTATGATATATGGATGCCAACTCATTTTAAAAGAATATGCTCCGCAATTGATCAGATACCCCCTGACGTGGATTTTGACATCTCGCAGTCGGAATTTTAATACTCCCAACAATCTAACGCCGAATCGGTGCTCGCTGTCTAGGATGATGACAGTCAGCCAAATCAGCGCTATATGGGCTCGGCAGGTGTTACGCCAACTACCCCCTTTACAGAACAGACACAGACATTCAAAAGGCCAAGATAGAAGCAATAACTTGGATCTTCACTTTCCTTTTTACACCTTAGGCCTTGTTACAACCATAACCCTAAGTAACCCTAACTCTCAGCGCGAAGGCACGATTTTTACTATTGTTGCCATTGTAGATATGGTTGCTGGTTGAAAGCAGGATGTTATTGTTGTTACTGGTTATAGAAACTACTCTTTCAATCTGCGCATGAATGAGCATAAAGTGTCTCTTATGTTTTCGGCAGAGAGTCAGGAATCAGAAAGTCAGGCATGGAACGCGGATGAGTTAATCGCAAGCCAACCTGTTGCTGCTTGTCTCGGGGAGATGTTAATGTTTTCATACACACTCAATTTTGGTGGAATCCTAAGAGGCCAATGACTGCCTCCCATCCAATGGTTTACTTTTAATCAAGAGGGGCAAGTCTGTTTGAGAAAATGCAAAGAGATGTGATATCAACTGTATTCGAAAGAATATCTTAACCCTAGCTTCGTGGCATGTCACCTTGTCTCCTGGTTTTACGAGAATTATTGAGGACCACAAAGAAAAGAGACAAAGGAATGCACTCCAGAATTGCCTCGTCCCCTCGCACACGGATCCGCGACCTCCGTGTTTAGTCAGGGTTGAAGGAGGTCGACCCTGTGCATTTGGGGAATATAGGGAGATCTGTGCAGCCTAATTTAAATGCATAGCCGGAATGCTGCGTGGTCACAGGAAAGGCACTGCATTAGCCAACGATTTCGAGGACACTAAATGGGCTGCTCGCTACTTAATCATTTATCACGTAACCAACTTACAGAATGCAGACTTAAAAGAATCAATTAATCAAGAATAGTTCTGCATACAAGCACCTGGAACCAATCACCAGCTGCAAGTCCTAGAGAGGGAAGATAGGTGAAGATGATCAACAGAGCCTCAGAGATCCACCGAGTAGATGACGACCTGCTCAGGTATGCCATCAGGAGGTTTATGTATGATGTTCTTATTAAGGGTGTCTCCATCGACTTTCTAATCCTTTTACGTTTCTGTGCAACTGCGGGGAATTCATGACGTTCTGATCAGAACAAAGGTCAGCAACCGATTTACTTCCACGAGATGGGTCATACAGAACACTGAATAGCAGGATTATCGTGTCAATTTATCGCTAGGGTGAAACCGAACTGCATTCACGTTTCTCAGGATGTGAGGAAATGAAATACACCAATTGAAAACAATTTCCAGTGGGCATGAATTATTCGAAATCGCGCTTTGTTCCCAAGATTGACACCACTCAATGCCTCTGGGAGAATGCTAAGTCTCAACTCCTGTTACCTGACAATAGACGCCGTTCTCGGGGATGGATTGATTAAGGAAAATTTGCTTAATCTTGGTAGATAAATAAGTATCTCAATCCACCCATAAGATAACTAAAAATATCATAGATTTCCAATGGGGGAGCAAGAGGTCTCTGTTGAAAATCATTGGCCTTTCCCCGCCCACGATTAATGTAGTCAGCCTGGTTGAGTGAGACATATGCATTTTTGTGTTCTCGTGTCTCCAACTTATCATAAAACAATCCCACATATTAAATCCTTAACTAAACAGCTTACCAAGATATTGCATTCCAGGCACCGAGATTCCGGCTCATTTATGTTTGGTTGCGGGGAAGTTATGAGGTGCCATTAGCGAGCGGCTGCGCCCCATATTCTCCAACCAGCCAGCCAACAACCACTGGCAGTCTGAGAACTCAGATCTAGCTGGCACCGCTTGAAACTCAGCTAATATTCCGCCCTCCAAGTCATTTCTGGCTTGGATCCAACCAGGAGTAACTTATTTCAAGCAGGCAGGAGGCTTTAAGGGCCAGAAAATTTCCAATCCCTGTTGCCATCGCTCCATGGCAGAGTTTCTTAGCACAAGAGCCAAAATGCCAAACCAGCCCCGGAACTTAACTAAACTTTGGAACTAAACGGCTGCCTGGGTGGTCTCGCGAACTCCACAATATCCACCTCAATCATAATGGAGCTTCAGTTCAACCTTGCGGGACGCCATTAGTGGTTGTCATCGTGATGGAGCTTGGGTGAGGCCCCAGAGATATGAAGTCAGAAAGTTGACGAGAGGCAATATGATTTTGCCTTGTGAAAAGCAGTCGAATTTTAATGGTATCTCGTTATCCAATGGCTCGCGATCGGCTTATTTTGAAAGTGCCTCGGAGCCTTTCCTCCCTGAGCAACGAAAGCATGCAAGACACCAGCAAAACCCCGTTGTCACATTGTGACAGGAGGGCGTAACTTAATCATGCTTGAGGCTTAAAATCCTGCCGTTCCCCCTCTCCTTTTGTGATCACTTTTCCTGGACTTTTGCACACGAACATTGTTAATATTTTCCATTATTTAATCAGGCGTTGCAATTCGCATTATTTGACTCGTTTCGCTTGTCAGTTTATTTTGAACCTGCAATTGCTCTATTAGTCGGTAACTAGGTATAACTAGTGTTATACATAAAGGAGACTCATTGTATGTGATTCAAGATTTATTTGTTCATTGACCAGGCGGCTAAACTCCCAATTACAGGCATCTACCACCCGAGCTCCCCATCTTCAGTCCTTACTGTGTCCAAAATGAGAGTGGACGTCTCGGAAACTATCTGGAAGTGGAGGTGTAAGATGACAGGTGCCGGGCAAGATGATGTGACAAAGTTTTCAGTTACCAAGTTATCCTCCGAAAACACGGAGATACAGGCCACCAAAGAAAAGGAGTTCGAGCAGGGACTAGATGCGGTTGTCAAGACTCTGTATGAAGGCAAGAATGGCAGGGAAGGTTTCTATGACTGGCAGGACTATCCACCACGGCAACAAATGAGCAAAAAAGCTGCCAAAGAAAACGACCGCGTGGCCATCGTCGTCTATAAAGTCAAAGATCTCTCAAAACCTGTGATATCTGGCCGCTTCAGTTTAAAATACCACTCTATTGGAATCCAAAGTCCGGTTCTCATCTCAGCTCTCAAGGATATCCTGAAAAAGGAGGAGATTTATCTTGAAGGTTCGGAAGTTGCGAAGTTCGAAGACCCATTCACGCCTTTATACTTTCGATCGGATGAGATCACTGAGATGTACAAAACTGCGGAGCCGGGAAGCGTTCTCAGAGCCCACGCTGAGCTTTTGTTGAAACTCATGGGGGACATGTTTAGTGAAACGAAGATTCGAGTTAAACGATTGCAAGAAAGTGGGCTCGTATCATGGGCACTTGCATGGGCTTACTTTCCGAGGGGCTCATATTTGTATAGTTGGGATGCCAATCGTGAAATTCTATCACAAGTCCTCGATACTGTCTACAGAACTGAGGGATTTAAGCGACATCTCTTGATTAGGTGCCGGGCTATAGTTTTCGATGGCCAGAACTTCACATGGGAGGAAGAGTATTTCAAGATCCCTTATTTCTCTGGAAATATGCCTGTCACCGACCTTCCTCATTACCCGCTGCGATTCTGCGAAAATCCAGAGGCCGTCATCTCCAGGTTGAAGGCTCGGGCCATGAATGTGCTTGATCTACAAGGTCTGCATTACAAGTCTTACACTGATGTTGCACTGGACTGTAAGGGGAGGAAACACAACGTATGACGAACCAACCTGTTCTTCCACTCCCGAGAATTCTGACTCAAATCTTGCTTAGGTCAATGGCAGAATCCTTGTCGATGTCAGGGGATATCGCAAATATCAATTGAAACTTGGGGCTGCAGAATCGAAGGACCCTGAATATCAGAAGAAACTAGTATTGCAAGCTGCCTCCAAACCCTTGGGAGACGGGAATCTAAACGATCCTGACTCTAGCAAAGGAACTCTCCTTGAAGAAGACATTTCATTGACTATCAAAACTCATCTATCGAAGGAAGAGCAACAGAGAAACAAGGAGGGAATGTTAAAATTTGGAGATGACCTGGCTCTCTTACATCATCGAATTCAAGGATATGCGCTGGCGAACAAAGAGTGGTGTAAGCACTACTTACTCAATCACTACTGGGATATTATTAACTCTTAATAGTGAATTTCTACGTTGACGAACTCAAACCCGTGGAATGGAATGATGAAGCCTACGATCATTTGGTTTATGATAAGCAGCAGAAAGACCTCGTGCTATCTTTTGTTCAGAATCACCATGCCACGCACCGTCAAGATGATGACGTTATCGCAGGGAAAGGTCAGTTGGAAAAATTGATTTGGAAGTTGAGATTGTCAAACTGACCGGTCCAATTCTTCAGGCCAAGGACTGAATATTCTTCTGAGCGGACCTCCTGGCACGGGCAAAACACTGACAGCTGAGGCTGGTGAGCACAAAAATTAACCTATCGCTCCATTCCCAACCTATATTCCTGAGAATAGAAACTCTAATTGTAGCTTTTTCATACGCAACCAGTGGCGGACAGATGTCGCCGTCCACTATTCTACCTCCAAGCTGAAGATCTGGGGATCCTAGCCGCAGAACTCGGGACAAATATCAAGAGAGTCTTCGAGATGGCAATTGAATGGGATGCGGTGATATTACTTGACGAAGCAGACGTCTTCATGGCCGAACGCCATCCTACCGACATCGCCCGCAACGAACTCGTCTCCATATTTTTGCGCGAGCTTGAATACTACAGGGGCATTATTTTCCTCACTACCAACTTGTACGAGACCATCGACACCGCCTTCCGATCCCGTCTGAATTTGCATCTATTATTCAACCCCCTTACACCAGAGACTCGTCTATCCGTCTGGCGAAAGTTCCTGGAGAGAATGCCTCCAATGGCCCCCCGACCTGGCGACGACGAAGGACAAGTTCCAAATGGCGAGCCAAGAAGTGCCATGAAGGAAATTACGGAGGAGGATCTGAACGAGTTGGCTATGTGGCAGCTGAACGGAAGAGAGATTAAGAATGCGGCAAAGATGGCTAAGTCGTGGTGTGACTATAAGGGATATGATATGACATTGTCGAGGATTGAGAGCGGGATCAAAGTCACAGCTCCCCACAGTTTAAAGAGAGATCATACGACACCGAAAGAATTGTATGATTAAAGGCCAACGGCTACAGAGAGAGGGGCCAGTAAGTTGGTATTGCTGTGGCGGTCCCGACTCCCTTTTGCGGCGAGGTGTGCTTTCCCATTTGTATTCCCATGGAGTTTTGGGTTCCGATCCTGGCCGTATTATTTTAATATGTCTCGTTAATTATTGAATTTATGCTGGATATGATACAACTTTTGGGTTCCTATATTTGGTGAAATCCAGACGTGCCATCTACCTAAAATATAAGACTGTCTTTTTCCTTTTTAAACTTTATACTCCCCCCCCCCCCCTTAGCAGTCTTTCCTAGAGATTCTGAAAATATTGTTGAGAAAAACACGGTTTTTATGCTCAGTAGAAAAAACAAGATGCACAAGCTACCTTTGATAATCGAAGCCATTTTTCCAGGCCCTTCATTTATTCTAATTCAAAGGAAGATTGGTGGAAATCCATGACGAAACAGAGCCAGATTTTGGAAGCGTTCAGAGCAATCCAGAGACGTGGAATAGTGGTCCTGGTACATACTAGAACTTTCAATGGTCACACGGGGATACCATATCCGCGGCATCACTCTAGGGGGTAAGTTCAGAGCTCTGCTGCCTATTATTTTAGTTGGCCAGCCCCTAATGAAAGCCCATATGAATAGGCCCTCAAACGCCTTAACAACACAGCAGCCACGGGGCGGAATTACTTTACACCGGTGGCCTAAACTCGGGTACAAAGCCTATGCAGATTGTTCAAAGCCACGCCCACGCCGAACCACCAGAGCAGCTTGTCACCGCCAGAAAACCACCTCGCCCAAAGCTTTCTTTCATTTCAAGCATCAACCGTTCAACCCACTATTGTCCTCACCACCTTCTTTGTCACTCCTTTTGCCCTCTCCTCCATCTTTGCTCTTCCCCACAACTCCACATAAAACCCACACAACATAACTACAACAACCCCGCGAACATAGCATACGACCGCTGTAGTGCCCCCAACCATGTCGGAACGTAGCTCCTTCCGGGGCGCTGGTCCCCGTGTCGGTGGGCGCGGCGGTGGGCGAGGCAGCACTGGTGGTGCCGGTGGCTATAGCTATCGTTCCCAGAAGGGTGGCGGTGCAGGTGGCGGTGCTTCACATCAACATCAACCTCATCATCATCAGCAACAGCACCAGCAGCACCAGCAGCAGCAGCAGACGGGAGGGGCAGTTGGGCAGGGTGGGCAAGGCGGGCAGCAGCAGCAGTATCAGCAGCAGGAGAAGCCGAAGAAGGAGAATATCCTGGACCTGGCGAAGTATATGGAAAAGGAGGTTTGTGTAAAGTTCAATGGGGGCAGAGAAGGTAAGAATTTTTATTTTATTTTATTTTATTTTATTTTATTTTATTTTTATTCACTTCTATTATTTATTTGCTTTTTCTTTTTATTTCTTTGGAATAAGCGACGATTTGTTTTGAGAGGGTTACCGTTTTGACATTTCATGCATGCTGTAAATTTCTCTTTCTGCGTGATTTAAGTTCGGGGTGCCTTTTGTGGGATACCTTATGATATCAGTCATTCCACATGCATTTAATGCATTTATGTGATCCACCATCTCAATGTCACTTAGCTAACAATGTCTTTCCGATATAGTAACCGGAACTCTCAAGGGTTACGATCAACTTATGAACCTTGTTCTAGATGACGTAAAGGAGGTGATGCGTGGTGAGTATTTGAAGATGCCTACATTTTGAATATATCAACCCTTCGATAGAATGAACAGGACTGACAAATACATCCCGCAGATGACGAGGATAACCAAACAACCCGTCCACTCGGCCTCGTGGTGGCACGGGGCACACTGCTCGTCCTTATCTCACCCGTTGACGGCAGTGAGGAGATCGCCAACCCTTTCTTGCAGGCGGAGGATCAATGATTTTTGTTTACCCTTTGACCTTCGTAGTGTCTTGTCTTGTTGGCTTTACCCCGACTCGATGATTATTTAACCGGGCTACAGTTCACATGAAAAGGATGGATTGAAACTGCATTGATGCATTGAGGGTAGAAAAGATAATGCGAAATGAGCCAGTTTCCATTCGGCTTCGATATTTTATTTTTTTTTTCTCTTCCAGCTTTCCCGTTCCGCAACTTTTCTTACTAAGATGCCGAGCATAGTTTGCGTCTGTGCAGAAATATGTATTGTATAGTATTGCTCATTCTTGAAAATCCAATAACAGCAAATGTGATATTAAATGCATTTCCCCTATTATGAATTAATATGCATGTGCTAGTGAGATTAACTTGTCTGCCGAGTAAATCAAATCTGTTCTACAGTATAAATATAGATGACTTCTACTACTGCTTCTGTCACTTACTACAACATATTTGTCTTGTTTTGTTCTATAGTAATAATGTTTTATCTGATGAACTTTTAATGACCTATTCGTGTCTACCTAACTTGGAGTATTTTAGAGAGCAGCGCGCATGTATTATTAAAGTTACAGGTAAACAACAATTTTAACAAAAGCCTTAAGATTATTCACGCTTTTCCATTCTTGATTTTCCATTGCCCTTTTCCCTTCCATCTCTCATTAACCACAATTGCAGATCATGTACTTCATACATCTCCTTCAAATCATTAGGCCAATCGAACTCTCAATCCAACATAGCCTTCCTCTACTGGTTTCTTTAAATCCAAATCTCACTTTCAACCCATCCCATCTTATCCGCAAGCGTAAAGTCGAGATAGATATCACGGAAATAACAAGGTTGAGCAAGACTGACTCCCCCCCCCCCCCCCCCCATTGGAACCCCTCCTATAAAACCCGCAGAGGAGCCAAAGTAATCATTCATCATTTTTACGTCCTCCTCGGATGCTTTGTCAACGCCTGGAATGACGATTCCACCGCTTTTTTCAATTCTTTGTAACTGACAATAAAGCAACTCTGTTCGTCGCGACTAATAAGAGTAACCTTCTCATCACTCCCTGCATCCAATTTGTTCAAGCAAGTAAGCACGTGGCCCAAATCGACGACGGGGGCATTTTGTGCGTCAACCTGGTGAAATACATAGTCGCGGAATAGCTTTAGGAAGTAGCGTTCGCCGTTTTCAGACCACTGGCGATCATGTTCGTACTCGGGTCGTTCGTTTATGAAATTGAGTTTGGTGAGGAGGCGGACGAGACGCGCATTTTCGAGTTCCCGGCAGAGATCGGAGGTGAGCTGGTCATCGAGGTGGAGGGCGGAGTCGAAAGTGGATATGAGTTGGGAGGAGATGCCGGTGACGAAGATATCAATGTTGCGTTCTTGGTCCTTTTGTAATGCGCCAAGTAGCCAGAAAACGGAGTTCTTCAATTGGGGTGTGTATGCTCGCGCAAAATGCTCCATGGCCTTGGTTGGATTGTGTATGACGGAAGGAGAATTTGCGCCCAAAGTGACTATCAACTGGCCAAAGTTGACCAAGTCTTGATGCTGGAGGTCTGCCGTTGATCGCTGGGAATCGTGCTGTACCACATCCAAAATGGCACATGCATTTAGCCGGATGCGATTTTTACCTGTGAGCAAAACCTTGCTGGCATCAATTACACGTGCAGCCAATCCTACGCTGTGAATTGCTTTCAACGCAGAGGCGATTTGGGTCACATAGCTCCAGAGAATTTGCTCAGGAATATGTGTTCCCGCGTGGCGAGTTTGAAGTCGATTGGACCCTCCAAGATGGTGTTCAGCTAGAGTTTTGGACATGGGGTGGTAATCAGTGACAAATATTAATGAGCTGTCCTGGAAGCTACGGGTCGTGAAGGCGTCATGGACTGTCACGATGCTGCCACTGCTGACTCGTTTCCAGTTTTGAACCGATCGAATGGCTTTTTCGCTGGTCAGGCGGAAACCTGTTTAGAACGATTAATGTAAGTGAAGGTTCGGAAGATGAAGGTTTTCGCTGAACAGACCTTCTAACCGCCTTAGAGCATAAAAGTTCCCGTCTTTGCTTGATTGCGCTTTGTACACCCAACTGGGGTAACCGAATATGGCGGCATTTTTCTGATGTGAGAGATCGAGGGGCACAAGAGAGTGAAAATGATCTATCTGTGCTGGAAGTTGAGAGTCTTCAAGTAGGTTAGTAAATAATAGTCTGAGCCAGATACAAGGAATAAAGAAGCATGCGACGTGAAACGTACTGGGAAGAGTCTGCAGTGTGGCCGCTGCCTTCTTCTGTAACTCTTCTCGGAAATCATTTGGGAGAAATAAGTCATGGACATTCCTTTGGTAGCCCAAAATATTCGAATTATGGGGTCCAATGGGCGCGTAGAGATGGTATTGGACCTATTATTAATTAACTTTCACAGTAAATCCAACCGGAGGAGAATCAAAACAGACATACAGGTTGTTGGAAAGTGTTCTGTGCGCCAAAGTATGCTGCGGCACCGAGACCGGTAGGATCATGAACATACGGATTTGGGGTAACCTGAGGACCCACAGCGCCAGGAGTGGTCAATGGAGTGGCAGAAGGAGCAACAAATGGATCAAAAGCGCCTGCTGACATCCCTCCACTGCCATTTCCTTGCAAATGGTCCTATACAGAGTGTCAGCATATGGAAGAAAAACCAAGGCGCATCGGAACCAATCACCCGAGGCAAAATAGGAGGCAGTGACAAAGGGGAATTTTAGCTTTTTTAAAGGCTAACTGGACCCCAATGAAAAACTTATTAATGGGCAGGAAAAAAGAGTAGCACATCGAAGATAACGTCATACCACTTGAGTTGTATCAAATCCCTGAGGTACGAAGTCTGGAATATCTGCAACAGTCCACTCCGGAGTCGATGTATCCTGACGGATGGGAGGCGTAGAAGCATTCGATCCTGGTAGTTGATGTCAATTCAAGTGCGCTTAACAGTGTAATGCTCAAGGGAGGTGGCATCATACGTGATATTATGCCCTTGGGGAGAAACGGGGCTGCACTGGCAGCCTTTGGGGAGATGGTGGTCGAGGTGGTAACTTTCTTTGCCCCTCCCGAGCCATTGAGGAGTGAAGGTGTGAAGCTGGGAGAGTCGACATTGAGGCGTTTTTTGTTGCTGCTGCTGCTGCTGCTGCTGCCGGAATCATTGACACCAGGAGTCAGCCCACGGGTTATATTTAGCGGGACAAGCTGCTGAGCTAACCTTTCGGTGCCGTGCGGGGCGTTGACCCTGTGCGGGTCATGGTTGAATGCGCAACCTTTCAATATAGACAAGTCAATTACTGTTCCTGATAACAAGCTCAATACAATAATACGCAGTTCCTAGCACCTTTGTCTTCGTATCGACATCGGCCGTAGATTGTCACGTTACGGCAAAGGGTATCTTTTGCATTTTCTAGGGTCACCAGAACAGTCAGCTCCGGATTCGCTGTTCGAATGCTTCACAACAATTGGCATATGGCATTCATTATGTAGAGAGAGAGAGTGAGTGAGTGAGTGAGAGTGAGAGAGTGAGTGAGTGAGTGAGAGTGAGAGAGTGAGTGAGTGAGTGAGAGTGAGAGAGTGAGAGTGAGTGAGTGAGAGTGAGAGAGTGAGAGTGAGAGAGTGAGTCAGAGAGTGAGTGAGTGAGAGAGTGAGTGAGAGAAAAAAAGAGAGTCAAACGGGATCAAGAAACAAAGACAGAGCAAAGAGATTTGATGCAGGTGTCCGGCACATACCGCGACCTTTCAACTTCGGCGACCCGGTGCTTCGTCTTGAATCATCCAAGTTGGGCTTTCCTGCTGAAGCCATATCCGCAGATCCAACACAGCTCAGCACCACAGGCACTCCATCGACCTAAGAGAAGCGGTACGCAACAGATCGGGGGCGGTGACAGGCAGGTGAAATGAGCCGCATTCCAGAGAGACGGTCACTGGCGATGTGCGACTCACTGCATATCAGGTGAGGCGGCGATTGTTCGGGTTGGGTTGGGGCATCTGGGGATCGGAATTACAAGACGACGAGGGTGATCAGCTGCGTAGGGAAGATAAAGACACGATAGCAAATCGAGAGACACGGAGAAAGGCCAGGAAACGCCGAATGCCAGGCACACAGAGGAACCAGCCGCAGAAAACGAAGTCGGCGATGTCTTGGGGAAGATGCGGCGAGCTTTTTTTTTCCGTCACGGGCCTCTTGTCGATTTAACAGCGAGTCACTGGATTTGGGGGAGGGGGGGGGCTTAGTCAGCCTACAGTCAGTCTGGGGAAAGGAAGGAAGTCTTCCATCCAACCTGGAAGGTGTGGAGGTGGCGTTGGCGAATCAGGGCGCGGTCCAGTCAGTGATACCCAGGCGGTAAATACAAGGTGTGTGTGTGTGTGTGTGTGTGTGTGTGTGTGTGTGTGTGTGTGTGTGTGTTTGTGTGTGTTTGTGTGTGTGTGTGTGTGTGTCTGTGTCTGTGTGGGTATTCTTCGTGGTGAGTCTGTGTGTGTGGCCGCATGTGACAGCCAGCCTCCAGGGGAGAAGGGAAGGGGAAAAGGGTCGCGACGTTCGTAAAAGTTGGCAGGAAGAGCGATCGCCCACCACCACCACCACCACCACCAACAACTGTACACTAAACCACAAAGAGTATGGTCTGCAGAGTTTTCTGCCCAACTCGGTCTGGCTTTGAAAGGTTGGGCCCCAAGCTGCTTAGGTAAGGCCATCCGAGGCAAACAAAGCTCCAACCAACCAACCACCACCACCACCACCCAACTTAACACCTAGTTAGTTAAAACTGGAAAATAGTTAAGCCAACTGATGGCCCCAACTCTTACATCCCAACTCCAACGCTCATCAGGACAACTAACTGCTCCACGTCTTCATGCAACAAAGCTGCAATTTGCATGAGATCCAAGGCTTCGACGTCTCCTTGGAGTTTGTATAACTGGTACATCGGCTAGTTGTCTGATACCTCGACTTTTCTTTTCTTTCCGCATCTCCCTGCTCCTTGGATTGTTGCCCACCTTGCTTGCACCTCCCATGGATGCCGCGGCTTATAAATTCCACTGAATATACCTTCAACCTACCCCTTTCTCTACACGCTGAATGGAGCTTTGGGACTAGTCGCTATAATGTCGACCGAGGCAACAGACATTTCTCAGCTTTCCCCTAGCCAGCAAACCACCCTCCAGACCTATATTGCCGTCACCGGGCAGGATGAATCAGCCGCTGTTCCACTGCTTCAGCGGTCGGAATGGAATGTCCAGGTAATATGTTCTTGAGCCTTCCCCCCCCCCCCCCCCCCCCAAAGATTAAAAAGCGAGAATGCAGCATGCCAACGGCTTTCATTCCAGATTGCGATAACTAAATTCTTTGATGGCGAGGTCCCGGATCCTGTTGCAGAAGCACAGGCTGCCATGGACACCCCTCCTGCGTACCCATCCCGAATCGCACGAAATCTGATGAATGGCGATGACGATATACCTCTCAGCAGCTCTTATTATGCACGACGCACAGCTGAACTGGCTCCACGAATAACCTCCCAACCAGTGGACCAACCAGTCTATCGTCCTCCATTTTTACTGGCCATCCTTTTCACACCGTTTAGTTTCCTTTACAAATTATTGATCAGCTCATTTCGCCTTTTTGGAGCTCTGTTCCCGTTTCTACCGCGATTGTTGAGTAATTCTGCAGCGGCTGGAGTTCAAGGAGTAAGACGAGATACCAGTGGGAGAAGGCCGTTGGGGCCTAAGGACTCTGCCCTGAGATTCATCCGGGAATTTGAAGAAGAATATGGAAGCCATGCTGTTCCCTTCCTGGAAAATGGGTATAATATGGCGCTGGAAAAGGCTCACCAAGAATTAAAGTACCTGCTTGTGATCCTGCTATCTCCAGAACATGACGATACCAGCAGTTGGATCCGAGATACCATACTTTCGAAAGAAGTCGTGGACTTCATAAACGATTCCAGCAACCAAATTTTAGTTTGGGCTGGCAATGTTCGGGACTCGGAGGCCTATCAGGTCGCCAGCGGCCTTCGATGCACCAAATTTCCCTTTTTCGGACTAATCGTTCATAACCCGAATGTGTCTGCAACCGCCATGTCCGTGGTAGCTAAAGCCTCCGGATTTACTACTTCCTCAGAACTTATAGAAAAGCTTCGCTCCGCAATCACACAGTGCCAAGCTCCACTTGATCGTGTCCGAGCCACAAGAGCTGAACAGCGGGCGTCCCGAACAATCCGTCAAGAGCAGGATTCTGCCTACGAGCGATCACTCGCACAGGACAGGGAGCGTGCCAGGCAACGACGGGAGGCGGAAGAAGCGCGCCAACGTGAGGAGAACGAAGCACAAGCAAGACGGGCAGCAGCCGAAGAGCTCGCAAGAGATCTTGATCAGTGGAAACGATGGCGAGTTCAGTCGATACCACACGAGCCGCCTGCAACTGACAAGCAGGCTGTTCGCCTTAGTATTCGCCTTGCATCAGGGGACAGGGTGATTCGCCGATTTTCTGGATCGGCAGATATTGAGGAACTGTATGCCTTTGTCGAATGTTATGATATCCTGCACGCAGATGGAGACGGGAGCGAATCTTCATCTTCAGGAGGTAGTCAACCCCCTGAAGGATTCGAACACAAGTACGGTTTTCGTCTCGTCTCGCCTATGCCCCGCGTAGTATACGAGGTTGATGCTGGAGGTTCCGTTGGAGAAAAAATCGGCAAGGGTGGAACTCTATTAGTTGAAACTATTGATGATGATGGCGATGATTCGGATCCCGATGGTGCACAAATCTCGTAATGAGAAATAACGCTTTAAAAGTTGTATTAGATTGGGATTCCTTGATTTGAAATAAGGAGTTGGTGTTGATTTATCTTTATTTCTTCGTATTTTCCTCTTGTATACCAAATCTCCATACAGTCATTATTCCTAGCATTTGATGTCATTATCATCAAAATCAATGTCAAGATTGATACTGGCCGTGCCCAAGTGACTCCCGTCGTGCTACTGCGCCCATAATCATCGAATGATGTTTTAACATAATTCGATCCCCAAACACTCCCACTTTATAAGACCGACGAAAAAACGCCGCACGCCCAAATCAAAGCTAACAAAGAGAAGATGCGATGGCTAAAACACCTTTTGGGGGAGATATATATAAAAAAAAAAGAAGAAGAAAAAAAAAAAAAGAAAAAAAAACCAATTCGGATAGAATTACAGAAAATCCTCCGTGGCCTCTTTAATCGTCTGCTCCAGACTGGTCCAACTGGCCCCCGATATCCTGTTCAACAAAAGTTCAGCTTCTTGATTCGTAACCTTGCTTACATCCTTGCCCAGATCGGGAATGTCATCAATAAACTCCCTGCCGGGATACAACTTCCTCATCACTGCCAGGATATCATTCCAATTGTAAGGTTGAGCAAACGCAAAAAGCCGCTGCGCCCGTACATCTTCATATATCAACGCAGCAACATGCACCAGCGCATCGTCTCGCACATTAACGTAATATTGCGGTTTGTTAAACACATCGTCCGCATACTGGCCCCTAAACCCTTCCCAGACAGCCTTCACCCACCCCGCCGTGGAAGGAAACCCCTGATGCTGCGGACTGAGCACCTTGCCAAAGTTCGCATTGGGCAGAACTGTATTCAGCACGAAATTCGGTTGCTTCTCTATCATCCATTTCCACGCTACTTTCTCGCCCTGCGTCTTGCTGGCTGCGTAGACATTGTGGCGCCGTTGCAGCCCTTCGTACGGCGGGGGGGCCCACGCCGCTCGCACAATCTCCTCGTTCCACGTTCCCTCATCCATGGTAAACTCCACATTTGGCTGTGGGCTTGCGGCCGCCGTAGAGGAGGACGTTAATACCACTCGTTTTATTGACGGTTCCTTCCGCGCAGCCTCTAGAGTGTTTATGGTGCCGCTGGTAACCATAGGAATCCCTTCGTTGGGGTCATAGGATACCAGGACTGGGGTGGCGGTGTGTATCAGTCCTGCTGCGCCTTTTACAGCTTCGTCGTAAGCGTGCGCAACGGCCATGTTGGGCACTTCGACAAGCTCGAACTTTCCGGCTCCATACCTGGAAGTGAAATAGTCGTTTAGCCAGAGGTTTTTGGTGACATTGCGCACTGTGCCCCGCACACGGAAGTTGGCCTGGAGTAGTTGGTCGACGATATGGCTAGCGATGTATCCGTTAGCGCCGGTGACCACGATGAGGGAACCCCGCGGTATCGCCAGTTTTCCGCTTGCGACTATCATCGTGGAAATACTGAATGGATTTTATACAATGGCCGGTCGCGGAACTTTTGGAAGTGAGAGGGGAAAGCAAAATGAGAGAGAAATTAAATAGGTTCCTTCATATATCCAGTTCTTTGTTCAAGTCGTGCATAACAGATGGGTTTTTGGTGCAGTCAACATAAGACCTCGCAGGCTCTGAAAAACGGCATTGAGGGAGACTGACAAGCTGCTTAAATAACCAAATAATGGCATTAATATTTCCCTCCGATGCTAAGCTGGATGAACCCCTCCCCTTACATCATTTTATCTCGTCTGGAAATTTAAACATGAGAGGAGAGGCTACCCCATGTAGTGAGGGGGCAAAAGTGACCACTCAGAGTTCGCTTTCATATTTCAGCGTCGTTTCTTTCCACCGACCAGAGGCACTCCGAATCCAGCCAGGTGCAGGGAGAAGTCCAGTTGGTGCAGCGAATTTTGAGAAGCGCAGCTAGCCAACGAGCAAGCAAGTGACTGAAGAGACGTTTCTGCGAAGCGTTGCATGAAACAGGGGTCGCCGTCCATTGCCCATATTTGGCTTGCAGGACGGCGTGTTTTGCGCAATAACAGGTCTCTCCTATTGCATATCAGCTTTCCACTTCCCGGCATCCACCAGGCGTTCACATGCGCTAGCTAGGCGTTAGGTTAGAGGGAGGAGCCTCATATCAGCATTCTCTTCCATTTCTTTCCTGTTTCTTCTCCCCAACCGAACTCCACGCCCCGCTGAGAAAATGGGTTACTTACAAGCGGGAACCATCTGCCTCGGGTAAGCAAGTAAGCCTGCGCCAAAAAAAAAAAAAGAAAGAAAGAAAGAAAGAAAGAAAGAAAGAAAAGAAAAGAAAAGAAATCTCTCCAAGGCTGATCCATGTCCTGACGACAAACGCCGCATCATTAATTAACTAGTCTTTTGGATGTGACTGGCTCAGAAACGACCAAAGAGCATGAGAATTCACGTAACTACCATTCATTCACCCGTTTCTCCAGCAGCAACGGGTGCCAAATGATTAAGACCAGTGGGGTGATCTCCGAGCATTCGCTTCTGCCAGCTCGCCACGATCAGAAGATCCCCGAAGCTTAAGCCTTGAATTCCCGAATTGCCCAGCAAGCAAGCCTAGACTGGTCTTGGGGGGTGATCCGTGTCCAGCCTCCAGTGTTGACGGAGAATCGAATCATAACAGCTGCAGCTCCAACGATTCCTCTGCATGATCTTGGAACGGCGGTAAACTTGCCGCTGTTATCTTCCCACCTCAGCTTGATATCCATCGCCAGGTCACCTGACTGAGAGCGAAATACCAACTGTTAACAACCTCCCAAATGTCATCGGAGATAAACCACACTGTTCCAAGAGGCTCCTTATAAACCGCTGAGCCAAGCAAAGCGGTTCAAACTAACGACAGAAAGGACAACATCCCCGTTCACTGGACGATTTGGAATTCCCGGCTGGAGTACTCAGAAAATAGGCTCTTCAGGTCGCAGCTCGAGGGGAGCTGAGCTTTTCAATACGTTCATACAGCGTAAAATGATAACCCACAGAGCAAATCCAGCTTTGGCCAGCAGAGGCGTGGAATTGCTTGAATAACAGCACTTCCTCCTCGGCGTCGTCTTCTTCCGCCCCCATTTCTACGGAAGTCCTTGGAGGGGAATCTTCGATGAACATTGATAACGGGAACAATTCAAAATATGTGGCCTCAGCTTTTGAAGCCATGTCCGGGTATTGGCTTCTACCTGTAAATTGAAAGCCCCACCTAAACGACTATCACAATGTGTTCTGTTCCAGGATACCCCAGTGATGTCAGGATTGGTTTCACCACGAGTGGTAGCGGGGCGGGCTCTGTCTTCTCAATGGACAGAGGTGTATGTTATCTTATCTTCAGATTTGGTGACTCTCAGTGCTCAATGCATCATACAAAGCCTCAATCTAGAGTAGAAAACACTCTGTCATTTCAGTATTTCTACAAGAGGGGTTCTGTTCCGTGCAAGCGAGTCTCGCCTGTAGAATCCCACCTATAGTTTTGCCTAAAACTTTGAGCTGTGCAATGAGAGGTTCCATGATGAATGGTCTTTACCAAAACATTGTTCTGGCAGGCCGGCAACTAGTTAAACGAATGCATACATAAACAATGAGAATGCATGCAGCCATCTCATAGATGTGTGTCTGGGGGGAGACGAGAAACAGGCCTGATATTGGCTGATTGGTTTCAGGTGGGGCGTCTCGCTTCCACTGTGTGCGCGGGGTTGAATCAGTTTATCTGTTACAAACATGGCTCTGTTTATCGTGCTGATGCGGCCTTCTATATAATTACTGACGTGGATGAGACCTATCGTCGCTAAACTAAATGGCAACTATACCATGCTCCCACACGATACTAAATCACTGAGCTACTCGATATGCTGAGGAGGAGGAGCGCAGCTCCAGAAATATAGGTTTGATAAAGAGCTTGCTTGATAGCTAGAACAGCGAAACGATGCTGAAACCTCATCCACCAGATCTTCAAACCACTCTTTGTTCACAGGGGGAAGTAAGAAGATGAGGCGCAACACCAAAGAATATATTTCTTATTCGAGCAACGTACATGGTCAACATGACATGCCCAAGAAGACAAGATAGCAGAAAATCAGAAGGGTCGCCTCGTGCAATCCCATAAAACCAACCCGACTACTTCCAGAATCCTTTGGAGGTTTACTACCTCCTGGGACGTCATCGGTTCTCAGCGTCAAACTCTCCAACCCATCCCCTTCAATCTTATCAAGCGGAGCCACAAACGCCATCTGACTCCACGAAAACAACGTGTTTCTTCCCCCAAAAACAAACACTTCAAACCTCCCGACGAATTTCCCATCCAACCACACTCTGCTTCCGCTAAGGACGTCAGTTTTAATCGTCAGCCGCGAATTTAGCGGGACGGTAACTGGTTCGTGTGTGGAACTTGAAACATTTGTCCATATTCTACCTGGGTGACCAGGATCAAAGCCATCATGCTCTGACACTGACCTCAGCGGGTATTCGCAGTTATCAGAGGTGAAGACAAGACTTCCACCTTGGGAGAGGGAAAGCGTTGTATCGTTCGAGATAAGCTTGAACGGACCAGTCGTGTCGAGGATCAAGGTGTAGTCCATCCCTTTGCTCCCATATCCTAGCGTTTTTGCTCCTGTTTCGCGGCTCCATTTTATTAGTGGGTCAGGAGTCTTGATACCACCTTTTTCAAGGGACAGTATTCGTCTGTCAAGGTTTTGACCTGGGGCTCTGTTTGTTAGAAGCTCGATTGTCCCTGACAAAGAACCGCTGTCAAGACGCTCTCCACGTGATCCCGCCCACGCTCTGGCTGCGACAACAGGAATCCCATCCCTCATTGCGTAGTATGCCTCGAGTTGTGTGGAGGCATCATATCCGTTATCATTCCACGCCGCCATGATAGCACCCTTATTACCTTTCGAGTCTGGTTTAACTTGCTCCGTCCGATTGACCGGATTGTAAAAGGACGGCTCCCATTGCCAGTCTGTCTGATCCGCAAAATTCAGAACACGAGTGTTGTTAAAAATTTGTGCATAGCGAGCGGGCAGAATAGGCATGTGGTCATTTTTAATTGACATGTACGCCCACCAGTCTTGAGAGTTAATGAATCGATATCCATCTCTCTCGAGTTGAAGAGGGTCTGATTGACCATACTGCCAGTGCTGGATGATGATGTCCTTCGATATAGTAAGGTTCTCGGATGGCTCGTGTGTTCCCCAGATTCGTATATCTTTCCCTGACTTAGATTTAACAAATTTAGCCATCTCGTTAACAAAGTTTATATAGTCGTCCGCGAGGGTGGGATCATATTCATCTGCCCCGATGTGAACTTCCTTCGTCTGAAACCAAGGGAGAAATTCTTCCCAGATGGCTTTAACGACAGGAATTGATTCGGGATGGGTTAAATTTAGCAAATCCTTTTTCTTTAATGCAAGCTCTGGTTTCCATTTGGTGATAAACAAACAGTGTCCTGGAGCCTCGATCTCTGGAATAACGGTGACACCGCGCCGGGCGCAATGCTGCTGTAGATCTTCAAAGTCCGCTCGAGTAAGGGTTTCGTTCATGCGCTGGACAATTCCATGTAATTCCTCGTTCTCTGGCCGTAGCGAGAACTGTGAGTAAACTTTATTCCATGTTTCATTATGCCCACGATTAAGGGGATAGTTGTCACTGGTATGGTATTGGAATTCAGACATCTTGAAAAACGACGCATATGTGCAAAGTTCTTTCAGGAAAGATGGAGAGTACCACTTCCGTCCAGCATCAAGTGAGAATCCACGGGTCGAATATGAAGGAGCATCAACTGTTCGGCCAGCGGGTATCTCCTTTTCGCCATTTATAAGAAACAATTGTAGAAGTGTCTGTGTGCCCCAGTACATGCCACGAGCTCCGGTTCCGCCGATGAATGCTGCGCCATCCTTAATTTCGAGCTCGTAACCCTCCTCCGTCGGTGTTCCATTTTCGTAAGTTAATCCATCAGCATCATCCCTAAACCCGCCGAGCAGAATACCTTTGGCATCCCTGGGGAACTCCTTTGTCCTCCGAAGATTCCACTTTGTGCCCGTGACTTGCTCCAAATCCAAGAGAAATGTTTCCGCAAATTCATACGCAGAAGGCGGGATAAGAGTTAGCCCTTTTTGATCCTTTCGTGTCGCAAACGTCTCATCGATATACACAGTATTCGTCGTCGCGGAGAATGTGAAACCAGATCCGCCATCATTGGTAGGCCATCGTACTGGTGGAAGGGTTTGTAAAGCAGAAGCAGCCGTGACAATGAAAAGTAAAAGGGAAAACATCATGTCGCTGAAAAGATGGAGGAATATCTACGCGGATCCATATCCCTGTAACAGTCAAAATATCCAAGTGATTTGGACAGTTTTATAGACAAATAAATGTTGAAGAAATGACTACTGATGGCCGTCGGTGTTACATGGCTGCAGTGAGTCGCAAGTCTCGTCGACTACCATTGACAAAGAGCGAAAACACGGTTATCTGGGTAGACATTCGGGATACTACACGAATGGATAGGACGCATGTAACACTGATGAGACTGTAATTAGCAAAATCACATAGTACATTTGATGTCGATCCTCCATCCTTGTACGTAACTTCACAGTTCAATTGTCCAATGAGTATAAAATTTCCCCGCACATTGCCCAGCCTCCTATGATTTAGGGATAAATCTCCCATGTTCGAGATATTCTGAGGATATGTTAGGAAACCGATTTCAGAAGCAGGTGTTCACTGAAAAGGACAAGCATGTCAGGTCAGCCAATGTTCGATATGAATAGTTCACATAAAGTTGGCTGTTTTTGTGTTTCTTTTGGTTTGTGAGGAGAGACATTTCATCTTTCGTCGCATTTGGGCCAGTTCAACTAGTTTGCGATTGATAATCCGGCACCTGGCAAATGACTCCCGGTCAAGAACTGCTATTTTGAATCAGACATGGTGCATAGGTACACTAGTTGCTTCACATACAAAAAATACATGGTAGACCGATGTTCTTCCAATTGTCAACTCTGCTCCTCTTATTGCTCTTCATATTAAGTAAAATGAATATAACAGCTCATAGGTTTCCAGGGGTATAGAACACAGCTATATAGCCAGCAGTAGATTTTCAAAATGGTAATAGAACGGCTATACTCACAGATATTATTATTATTATTATTATTATTATTATTATTATGCAAACCGAGAAATACTTGAACGTTGATTCTCCGTAGGATTTCTGCATGGAAGCCTGTGTATACACTATTCGTTTGGAATAGTCAGTTGATGGTCAGAACGGATATCAATCGTTGATGGACTTTGTTCACCCCAAAACCCAGTTTAACTGCCTGGGGGGAATTTAGGCTAGCTGCCCCTGTGATTATGGTTCATTGACCAGCATCAGAGGCCCTCTCTTTCAGGCGTTCCCCCCCAAATCTCCTCGAGTGGGAGATTGCTAAGGGACTGGCACTCGGTGCGATATTTCTTTGCTTGCCGTCGTGTTTCTCTGCGTAAGATGAAGTGCAAGGCATCGTATCGAAGTGCGAAACTGGGCGAACAAACATCTGAACAGATATGAGTTTGACCCAGATTTCCAGTCTAGCACAGACAGAATATTCAGGTTATCGTCAACGAATATATTAGTCGACCGGAAATCGCATGTATCAAAATGTATAGCCCATAAAATTGCTTGGGTCTCAGCTATGTCATTGGAAATCGACTGGGCTTTTGGAAGCTGTAGAGATTGGGACGGGGATTTCCTTTGATCATAGGACTGTCCTGTCGTCGGTCATCCACTGCCCAAATGTGCTGTCATCGGTTGGATCTTGCATAAATTCAGCGGGAAAGCATACATTGAAACCTCAGCTCGCCGAATACGTGACACTGATGATTCACCGGATGAAAGGAGGACGCCAAATCGCAAAATGGAAGCGAGAAAGTTTTTCTGTTTCTTCTTAGTCGTGGTGCGTAAAAAGCTCGATTTCTTAATGTTACGTTGTGAAGTTTTTTAGGAAGCTAGGTCTTTAAGAAACAAAAAGAGGATCCCAGACAGATGGTGAATAAATAATGATCCTCATTTCGGCAGATACCACTGGTTACCCATCATACCCCGAAGCTTAATTAGGCGTGGAAAATATTTGAGAATTGGGATTTGATGAACTTTTTTTGACTGGGAGATGGTATGGAGGCATATTTTGTTCAGGCAGTGGGTACCATTTGCGGTGGAAGTTTGATTCATGGTGAAATGCATCGAGTTCGATACAAAAATCTGACGTAACTTAAGCGAGGCTCCCCTTCATATCCCTGGGTCACCTCAGTGTCCCGATTTACACGGGCCTGTTCGTTGAAGACACCCTTGGGTGCACACTCCTTGCTATCTATTGTGAGCATTAATCCGTCATGGACGCAAGATTCAAATCTGGTTATTCGGGAGAGAGAAAATGTAAATGAGAAATTCAATTTAGTCCCGAGTCATCATCAACAATCAGAGTAAAGAAAAGGAGGTAGAAAACCAGATGAAAATATAGGAGGGCGGTGAAATCGATGACACACGGATGAAATTGAAAAAAAGGAGAAAAAGAAAAAAGAATCGCTACCATTAAATCAAACAGCATGACAAGGTTTGTTATTCTGGTGTGTGTATAAACCTTTTAACAAAGTAGCTACAATGCCATATGCGCCGCTTTTTTATTCCTTCTGTTGTTCGTTTTTCACCTATGCTGCAGTAATAGCCCGTCGGATCTGAGCACCCCGCTGTCTTGACGAAAGTCTGGCCTTGACTTCGGTCGAGGGCTTCTGGACTTCTTCACTGCCTTCAGTGAGGATGAGCTCGATGTGGCATGGGCTGGACATGTAGGGGTTGATCTAAATATTCACGCAGGGAATTAGTTTAAAACGGAACACGGGAAAGCTAACTTAGCCGGTAAGAGATAGTAGGTAAAACATACACGGCCGTGAGCACGGTAGGTGCGTCGTCGCTGCTTGGGAGCCTGATTGACCTGGATGTGTTGGACGATAAGGTTGCCTGTGTCAAGACCCTTGGTGTCGGCATTGGCCTCAGCGTTCTTGAGGAGAGAGAGGAGAAATTCGGCGGACTTGACGGGCCAGCGGGCCTTGGAAACACCAAATTGCTTTCCTAAATTCCGTAAAAGGCCTTGATTAGCACAAGCACCTTTGCCAATTGCTGTGTGTTCCTCGCTCATTCTGTCTTTCCAGCCACAATTCAAAGGCCTAGTAGCATGATCTACGGCAACTCGACTTTTATCTCAAACCGCCAAAACTAGTCCCTCCGTTGAAACTATATCCATCTCCCCTTCACGACAAGAGATGCTGAATCTTCTGGAAACTCCCCACAGCGATTCATTCCATTACCACTTTACCAGCACACCTTCCCTGTCCAATATCCCGTCTACTACACCATAAAGGCGAATCCACCATCTGCCAAGGGGGAATTTTAGAACAGCTCACCCTGTGCACACCGGCCAGTGCTGCCAGCATATCTTCGCATGGGAACAGCCTCTTTGTGAGCCATCACATTCTCCAGATAAGCGACCGCGCGCTGGAGTTTCCATCCATTGATCGCCTGCGCAGTCTCGCGAGTGTTCTTGAAGCTGACACGCAGATAAGAGCCACGGGAGCGGGCACTCTTCGTGCTTGGGATCGATTGGGCTGCGTACCGGACCTGGGTTCGAGATACGTATGTTAGTTAGGCGTCTCTAGAGCGTCCAGAGAAAGGTATCGTGATTGTGCAGAGATGGATATATATATATATATTCAGCACATCATATCCAACAGAGAGAAATTTAACGGATAAAAATAGTGGTCATCGCAGACATAGGGGCGCAATCGGTAAGGGGAGCAAAATACACTCACCATCTTGATACAGTTGTCGTGGTGAAAGATGGTCCTCGTCGTCGGGTTGGTGTTGAGTGGAAAGATGTAGTCGTTCAAAAATGCTGATATGGTTGGAGCTTTGGCTGCTTTGTTCGTCACGGTGTGTGGCCCTACCATTTTCCCGCCAATCGCTTGTGCTCAGGTGCTTATGCTAAGCGAGTCCCAATTGGGGATAGCGTTTTAAAACGGAAGCCCTACCACTAGGCTGTGTTGGGTCTAGTGCCATTTCACCTCACTAAAACCTTACATCAAACATCAAGTTCAACCTGATACCAATCTACAACGTTCCATCGACAAATTTACCTTGCAAGGGAATGAATAGACCTTTGGGACTGGCGATTTGAGAGATGTCGTGCGGGTGCCACAGTATCCATCGAAATTATTACCCACAAGAAATCTTAACTGTACTCACTTACGGCGCAAAATACGTTGAGAAATACCCAAACATGCCAATTTTATTTGTACATATTCAGTTACTACTCAAATCACTCTAAACAAATGCTGTCAGACTATCAAACTCTTAACAGATAACCCTCACCATAAAGATTCAAATAATTCCAGACAGATCCTGACAAAACATCAATACCGCTTGTCTTTCCAATTCCCAAGTCACTCCGCATACACGTAACTTAGAGCAATATTGTGTTAGGAATTCTCTGTTCCGGAACCTTGGTGAGCAACTTCCCCTCCTTCAGACATGACTTTAGGTTATCAAACACAAGCTGTTCCATATTTCTTTGCGTCTCATACGTGACGGTCCCAATATGCGGAAGTAACATGACCCTCGGATTCTCCAGCAACTCCTTCTCGACTGTGGGCTCGTGCTCATAGACGTCAAGGCCAACGGATTGGACCTATTATTGATATTCTGTCAGCATGAACAAATTTCGACTTCGTTTTTAAATGGAGAGGTTGACTAATTATTTTGTATGCCGGAATATTACTTACCTTGCCTGATTTCAAAGCTCCCACAAGCGCCTTCTCATCTATTAAAGCCCCTCTCGCAGTGTTAACAATAATCACACCGTTTTTCATCTTTGTGAACTCGGGTCCCCCGATTATATGCCGAGTCTCATCTGTCAATGAGCAGTTGAGACTGATAATGTCGGATTGCGAAAGCAAGTCGTCGAATGTGACGTATACCATTCCCTCTGGTTCTGGGTCGATTCGGTTTCGATTATGATATATGATTTTCATTCCAAAGGCTTGGGCACGAAGAGCGACTTGCTACGCAATTCAAAGGTCCAGTTAATTACGTAACTTCTTTTTTCGTTGGCGGCCAAAATTGCCATGGATATCGGGCATTGAACTTACCATACCAACCCCTCCCATCCCCAATATACCCAGAACTTTCCCTTGTGGATCATGCCCAAGCTCCATTTCGCTTCGCCAATGTCCTAGGAGATACTGGTTAAGCATCCAATCCTGCGAATCTAAGAATAGGGGGAGAATCGTTGAGAAATTTAAACTCACCTGCTCGAATAGCCTGCTGTGGAATCCACGCCTGTCTTAATGCACCGATCATCAGAAAGACAGCTATGTCTGCAGTGGCATTGTTTACAGCTCTGGGAGTGCTAGAGACTTCGATTCCTGAACCAAGTGTGTCAGCGCTTTATATCCACAGCGCTTGGATAAGTGAGAAATGAAAATTTTGAACCGACTTCAAAAGCAATTATACGTACCTTTTTTTGTGAAAGATGGAATGTCGATGTTGTCATATCCTGCGCCGTTGTGGCAGATAAATTTGAGTGACTTGGGAAGCACGCCGAGAAGCTCAGCATCGAAGGGACCGGTTAACTGCATGACATGCATGACATGCGTGACATGTGTCGTCAGTGCGGGGAACTAGCAAAATGTATAACATCTGCAGGCCGTGAACTGTGGTACAATCCATCCCACTGTGACTCTCAAGTGTTATACTTTTTTTGAATCCGAAAGAACGTCAACCATCAGACTTACCTTAACGGATTCGTTAGACCGGTATATCGCGACCACATCGTCATATTTTCCACTTCTGCAATTATTCATGAAATCAGCTCGATTTCCTTGGCGATATTCCTGCAGTCTATTAGCATTATTTCTCCCTCAAGTTGCCTTCACCACGCTGATCGACCAGATCTCCGATGTCCATTTCACACAAATTCGCTGGACATCGGTCTAAATACAAGGACACAGAACAAAAATAACGCACAAGACCTAATCGAGAAGCATGACATCTAGCTATCGTTGCAATCTCCGGGCAGAATTGATCTCATGAAATCAAGCAAAGGCCATGAGACGTCATGATGAAAGCGGCAGCAGTCCGGATGAGAACATCAAGGCAGTAGTTTATGGCCTTTTCGGCCCCAACAAATGATGGCTGCCTATTAAGAGTGGCCAAGGCTGTTTAACGAATTGCAAGGCTTCTTTCTCATGGACGTCATAATCCGTCTTGATAACTGCACTTCTTTCCTTACTGCGCACTCAATTGTCCGCATCGAAGCGTTGAAGAGGCAATAGAAGTCAAGACGAGGAACGAGAGATGAAAGCAATTATATATATATATATATATATATATATAAGCAGAAATAGCAACGAAACACGATGAACTGGACGGGATTATAAATGCCTTATACTTTGGGTGATCTCTGGGTAACAGAACGTCTTTTGACAGGGGGCGGTTGGTTAACAGGATCACAATAAGGGATTCATGCAGCTCAAAAATATCATTGAAGGATCCTGCTTCAAAGTAAATGGGAAAGAGATAATAGGTACGTGCCTTTCGAGTCACAATAGACGATAGCGCGTTCCATTCCTTGTTGCAGTGGACAATGTCGCCGATGAGGAGGACTGCTCGGTCTGGCATTGTCGGTTGGTGGTTGGATTAAATCGAGAATGATACGGCGGTGTGATAATAGCGAAAGAATATGATCGTTTCCGTCAAGACTCTGCATATTTTGTGCCATACCAATCAGCAACAAGTTCAAGCATGCAAAGTGAGTGCTCTTGACTCAAAAAAGAGAAATAAATGAATGAAGCTTTGGAGCCCAGCTTCAATGGGAGAATTGGGGGGGAAAGGGCAGATCAATACCAGTCCACACGACGTCAACTATTGAATTCTGCCTACCAGGTGGAGCCAGAGGAGTCACATATACGGGTAAGAATGTGAATGGGTAATCGAACACTTTGTCCATGGATATGGGTTGATATTCCTATTGGGAAGATTTACCGTTGACCTGACAACTTATTTTTCTCGAAAGGTATGTCTTTCTCTGCAGGAGCAAAAACAAAACTAGATATTTACTAATCCTGATATGCAATGAAAGACGCCAGTAACGATCCCGGTTTGGTCTTCTTTCTTTCGTTGACAGAATAACAACCCAAAGGAGACAGGTTTAAAAGACGGAATCGGTAGAATTTGCAGTGGTTACAGCAGGAGCGCGAGATTGATAAATCAGATCTCTTATCGACCTGGGTAGAAAATAACGAGAGAGAAATTGTGTGCTGACAACATAATTTCGATGTTACCGTGCTCCATCGGCGTATTTATATCATGGCCAAATCACAAGCGATTTTTCTGGGATTTCCCTGGAACTGGACCATGGGGAAACTAGCTCCGACACATTCTGGATATTTTCCTTGCTTCTTCTCCGTTGGAATGTTTTCCGCGATTGACGAGAGTTTATTTATTTGCGGTAGCCGTGGAAGATGAAAGTGATCAACAGAACAGGCCTTTGCGTGTAAGCCTGTGCACACTTCGCCTGTGAAAAGGCCAGGGACAACGGCACGTCCGCGCAATAGAATGCGTCGAAGAGCATTCCGCCAGGTAGATCTTCAGTGCATGTGATGGGACCCAGGGAGTGTATCGGCAATTGAAAATGGAGGTCAAGATAAGCACCATGACTCCAGGGAAATTAATAGGATATTTAGTAAATTATCTTCCCTCAGAAACGGGCAGAGAAACATGAAACGGAGGCAAAGGCTAAAAGTAATCCGTTTTTGGCGGAACAGTATGCTCTCTCCACTGGGGGCAGTCAGCGACTTGTTCCTTTCTGCAGCCTGCTCGTTTGTCATGCCCTGTGCCAGGCGCACATTATTTCGAAGTGTCGGATAATGAACGCGTCCAGGTTCTTAGGCTGAATCTGATGACTCCAAGAGATGCGACAGACAAATCGGCAAATGTTGCGGTCTTGCTTAGTAACCAGCCGACCCCTTAACTAGTTAAACTAGTTAGTTAGCAGTTAACCCAACGAACGCACTTGAAGAGCGCATCTCATGAGATGAGGAGGAGGCCTCGAGAGCTCTGCAAAAGTAGTAACTCTTGAACTACATATTACACAAGCTACACAGCTCATCGCCTTCGCTGTTCTCTATGGCTGGGGGGGGCGCTTGTTTCTGCAGTTTTCCTGCAACTTCCCCCCCCCCCCCCCCAACAGTCAAAAGTCGGCATAGTACACTCCGTCTTCGGAGGACTCGTAAAAGTGTTCCGCTCTTTGTCCCACCAAAACACTCAAATGCGGTGTTTAACAATAAGGTACAAAATTTTCAGTGGAATTCCCGTAGTTCGGCTCCGCGCCCTTTTAGTATATTAATATCAGGAGAAAGGCCACCATTTGCCAGAACTATATATTCTTTGGGTTGCAAGTTTCTTTGTTCCCCGCTGACAACCGGATATCGGATGGTAAACGCTTATATACATACGATCCATTCGCCACTGTTAAAAGGCCATTCGCATCCAGCTACCATATGCGGCAGATAGAGAAATATATTCTCCATTTTCTTTTTATATAATATATATATATATATATATATATATATATATATATTTTTGGTTGGATTATTAGAAACTCCGATAATGATGACTCCTCCCAAGGTAAAACTTACTTATGCCCTCGTGCTTCATGCTCCCAAAGACCTTAGATTAGTAAGTACGTCAACTAAGCTTCGCAATTCCTTGTAACGACTTCGATAAACCACTGGTTACGGTCTTTGATATCGGTTCTTCTTATTCCAATATCGCACTCAAAAGCAGCCCCAAAAAACAGAGTGATAAAAAAAGAAAAAAAAAAAGGGAAAAGAAAAGGAAAGAAAAGGAAAGAAAAGGGTCCCAACCCTAGCTAACCTTCATCCCAGGAATCTCGCCTAAACCCAGCCCCAAAACACGGCGAACTCCAAATCGCGATCCGGGCCACTGGTCTCTGCGGCTCAGACCTGCACTACTATAACCATGGGCGAAACGGCGACTTCATCGTGCAATCCCCACTCTGTCTCGGACACGAATCATCGGGAATAATCACAGCAATTGGCCCCGATGTTGCCGACACTTTCCACATCGGCGACCGCGTCGCCCTCGAAGTCGGTCTGCCATGCCACTCCTGTCCCCTCTGCCTGCAAGGCCGCTACAACATCTGTCGCAACCTGCGGTTCAGGAGCTCAGCAAAGACCTTCCCCCACCTCGATGGCACCCTGATGGAACTCACTAACCATCCCGCAAAGATGTGCCATAAGCTCCCCGCAACCCTCAACGATGTGCAGGGTGCTCTGATAGAGCCGCTTGCGGTGTGTTTGCATGCGATACGCCGTTCGAAGCCTCCTAGTGCGGAGCTGGTGGACCTCGCACGGTCAGGCGGCCAAGAGACCGGAGCGCTGATCTTTGGGGCCGGGGCCATTGGCATCCTTCTCGCATCTGCGCTGGCCGCGACGCAGCACTTCACCACCCTCATCATTGCAGATATCGACGAAGCGAGGCTGAACCTCGCTTCATCCCTCCCCTTCCCACAGGGGAAGATACAAACATTTCTGCTCCCCAAATCCTCTTCGGCTTCTGTTCTGCCGCCGGAAACGGAGACGGCCCAGCAGATGCTTACTAGATTCTCCATTCCGCATGGCTTCAGCCGCACCTATGACTGCACTGGCGTGGCTAGCTGCATTCGGACAGGTATCCATGCCACTGGGCCCGGTGGCGCGGTGGTGTTGATTGGTATGGGTGGGGAACCCCAGCCTAATATACCGCTGGCCGCAGCGGCATTGCGCGAGGTGGATCTCATTGGTGTGTTTCGGTATGATGGGCGGGGATACCCCGATGCGGTGGAGTTGATGGGTAGTGGAAAGCTTGAGGGTGTGGCGGAAAAGGTGGCGACCCATCGGGTGCGGCTGGAGGACGGTGTTAGGGCGTTTGAGCTGGCGGGGAAAGGGGTGGATGAGGAGGGGCGGGCGGTTGTTAAGGTTGTGGTTGTTTCGGGGGAAGAGGTCGGGAGGGGACCGTAACTGAAAGAGATGATGCAAGTAGTTGAATTAATTATTCTCGGTTACGAGTTACGAATTATGATTTACTGATTATATCGGAGGAGGAGTTTTGAGTTTATGATTAAGTATGTAGTTTCAATATGTAACTTCTATTAGTCTTATGGCCCTAGGTAAAGAGATCGATCGTCGAGAGGTATGGTGTACTCCCACATCTCAAGAGGGCTTTTTCTCTCGTTGTGCCCCGAGCTGTAGTTAAATGGAGACAATATATGCCAAAATAAAAAAAAATAAAACACAAATAATAAAAGCTGAAAGATAACCGTGCTGCACATGCACCTTATTATCTCAATTGCATCTCACACATAAGAAGTCACAAATCTAAACATAAATCATAAGACATTTACAAAACGATCTATAAATTTATCTTCACTTCAACCCTCCAGCCAACACCACACTCTGGCCCGTTAGGTACCCCGTCTGCACACACATCTCCACGACATTCGCAACCTCCTCTGGTAATCCCAACCGGCCCAGAGGAATACTAGCTGCAACATCCGGAATTGCTTGGGCGTTAGGTATCATGCCTGTTTCTCCGATCATCGCAGGGGCGACGTCGTTGACGCTGATGTTATATTCGGCAAGGCGGGTTGAAAGATTTTTCATCATGCCAGCTAAACCGCCTTTGGACGCCGCATAGTCTGTTTATTTTTGAAGTTGTTAGAGCATACATACCACGTCTAGGGAAACCAAAAATATGTAATGTTTTAAAAAACTGGAGAAGATGGACAACCGTACGACATCCGTTGATGCCTCCGCCATATGCCGCAATGGAAGACATAAACACAATCCGACCCCATCGCTGCTCCTTCATCCGCCCCACAACCCCCTTAACCAAAAGGAATGATGCACGTAAATTCACATTGATGGTATAATCAAACTCCTCCAACGGGATATCCCATATCTGTGAGATGCGCTTGCCGTAGCCTGCATTCGATACAAGGATATCAGGGGTTTGCATGTGCTCGTGCTCAATCTCCTCGAACATGCGGCTGATCTGCTCGGGGACTCCAACGTCGACTTGATGGATTGACACTCTCAGCGTGCATCCAGCAGCAGTGATGTTAAGCCGTTTAATATCGTCAACTACAGCGCGCATTCCGTCGAGATTTTTGGAGTAGGTTAGTGCAAGGTGGACGCCTCGTCTTGCAAGTCTACGGGCACATGCTTCGCCTATGCTGCGACCGGGGAAATAAACCACGTCAACATTTTGGATTGGCGACAGGACTAGTTTCGTTGGATTCAGTTGAGATCCTAAAAGAAAACTACTGACCCCGAAGAAGCGCCCGTTATCAGAGCGAGGCGGCCCTCAATTTCATTAAGGGAAGCCATTGAGGTGGGAAGGGATAAAAATCAAAATATTTGCCTACTTGTGGTATGGGAGGTTTGAAGGTGTTTTTGGCTGCTGAGTGGGCACATCACACACACACACACACACACACACACAAAACCCCAGAGAGCCGCCCGGTGCTTGTTGCAACAATGTATATATATAACCTCTTGTGGTCTGGGCGGGGATCTGGTTAACCTTCAGACGTAATGCCCGAACCGTCGGACAGCCGGACCCCACCTTCCAACCCGGGAAACCAAGGCGCGCATGAGCCAATTAAGAGCCAAAATTTGCTAGAACCACAGTTTCTCGTTAATAGAGTCAACTGTGATGCCTCGGCAGGTAAATCAAAACGACTCTGCAAGGAACGAGAACACACCACCTAGACCGGAACTCAAAAGAAGAGGTTGCCGTTAAGGTCAACCTGCAAACTTTGAACAGGCCAAATAGCCTCTGAGGTTGCGGGATATGAATTGGGGTGCTGATATGAATTCATACCGATAATGCCGGGGTTCCCAATGGGGTATCCAGAGACATAGTCACCAACAGCCCCTAGATCTAGCCAGGAGAAGTCGTTCATAGGGCTGTATTGCACATATGACTGCTCCGGGAGTCTATTTGGAACTGCTCCTGGGGGAACGCTTTCATCTTTGCGCGGCGGCTCTTGCGTGTTCGTTGAAGAGGCGGAAGAAGAGGATGATTTGGGTTTCCACAGCAGCTCTAGCAGTCGAGCATACCGCGCACCGATGTCGTCCGGTCCAGCACTCGCTCTATGGAGTCTATCCGTTGTGAGGTTTATTAAATGTCGAACTCCTTGTTCCTCTTGAGCATTCATTACTCCAAATGACCGCGCCTATGAAGGACGTAAGTTACTGAGTCCTGCACTGTTTTGAGAGAATAGAAGCAAAAGAGTGCTGCTGAGTGTTACCTTATAGAGAAATACAGCCGCATATATGCTGTACCTGTTGTATTCAAAAAGGGATGGTGAGCCAATGTTCACCGCTCGTTTCCATGAAGAATCAACTTACAAATAATACCTCAGCGGCATAAAATGTAAATGTTTCTCGGGATCAACGAAGTTATTCAAAATTGTAAGATAGGATTTCGCCGCATCCACTGATGCGTATATAAACCGAGCATCCTGCATAGACGCGACATTACTGAATGCTGCCCGTAGGTGATCTCTCTGGCTCGAGGCATCCCCCTTGGGCTTGGACGTAAGGGCCTGCGAGATTGCCGCTTGGAACGCGAAGGCGTTGGTGTACAACCTCAAATATTCGTAAGACATCTGTAGCGTCACTTTGATATGTGGCGAACCTATAGATTCCTTTATTAGCAATTGAAGAATAAAAATCGACTCTATCTAGTCGGGAACCGTGACTGTCTAGGGCTTACAAGTTAGCGTCCCCCAAATACGGTTCCAACGGTCAATGGCATTACGAAAATCGTCAACATATTTCACATAATCCCCCATAAGCATCATCTGGCTGCTCGTACGCATCCCGGAATAAAGGACGTCATGGACGTTTCCGTAGAGCTGTGTGAGATCCAGGAGAGCCTGGAAAATCTTTGCGTAGTCTTCATCGGTCGAGGTGAGGGGTTGTAGAGACGGGAAGTCTTGACTAACAAGCCCAGTCATAGGGCCGGGACCCCGAGACCAGAATGCCCTCCCAATGCGAACAGATATCAGTCTGTCGGAAATATAGCAGCTGGTCCATGCCAACCGTTTCCGTCCATCAACTTGCGCATCAATTGTGGGATCACCTCTAAAAGAGGTGCGGTCGAGACCAAGAAAGTATCCTGAGCGTAGAGCCAATCCAACGTGCATCCAAGCTGCCCTGTCCTCTTCTCCTCGTCCAACAGCCTCAATTTTTGGCCGCAGGCCTTGTGGCTCCCATTCAGCAAGGAGTAGCAAAGCCTCTACCGCTTCAACATCGCAATCTATACCAGCCGCAATTCCTGATATCAGCTCGTGCATATATTGGGAGCAGGTATCGTGAACCTGTGGCGTGTCCACAAGGTCCTTTGAAGCAATAGTAAGAACAGCCGTGAGAAGATGTTTCTCCTGCGACGCAAATGATTCCAGAGCAGCTGGGTCGAAGTATTTTCGTGGGACCAGGGGAAGGTAAGGATGAAAATTCTCCGCGTAGCGGGTTACCAGATGGGAAACAGTCTCGCGGGTTAGAGAACCATTTTTTATGAGTCGATAGGCATCGATGCCTGACAGGGGTTCGTCGTCTTCTTCTCCGCTCAACCGGGCACGCCTTGTGGAATCGGAATAGTGTTCTCCTGTTTTGTCGATATTTGCGGTCTCTGCCCCCCGTTTGGCAACATTAGTTAGACATTGCCATGCGTCTGATGGATTCCTCGGGACCGACCCAATTGCACTGTCAGTAGTAGATGCAGAATCGTCGTCGTCTATGTTGATAGTAGAGGTGGTAGGTGGATCTGACCGTCTAAAGTGGTCTGACGGATATTGGTGCTGGGAAAATTGATGCGGATCTGGAGGCACCGAGGATCCACTTGGAGCGAGTTGCATCGACTTATTGCCAGAGGAATTGGGGTCGATATCAAGGTTGGTGATTTTAGGCTTGCGAATACGACGACCGCCTCTGTTTGAGCTGCCTAGGACGCATTCACGGTGATCTCGTAGGCAACGCTGACAAGGAGGAGTTCCCGGACTTCCACTGCTGTCCCTGTATATTAGAAAACCAGTCAGTCAAGAGGTTTGTCGTTAATAATTGTTTCTCCTGTCGCGTATCCGATATTCCCCCCCCCTCTCCCCTCCCCCCCCCCCCTTTTTTTTTTTTTCAACTCTTTCAACTTTGCCATTCTTGTGTAGGGTGGGAAGGATGAGAAACATGTATGACTTTGATTCTCCGATGCCACCATGCCACTTACAAATCGCATCTAGATTTGCGCTGACGACAGTGCAAACAAGCTCTTGAGACGCGCTTCATGAGGTGTTCAGAATGATCCTTCGACTTGGGTTTTGTAACCTTTCTGGTTACGCCATTTTGGTCGGCAGTGGAGAGCATGGCTGGTTAAGGATTAAAAAGACACAACACTCATAGGCAGACACGCACACACACTCGGGTCTCTTTCTCAACTCCAGCTGCGAACCGCTGACATTAAGCCAGCATTTGGCTATTCTTCTGGCCTCGCTTCGTGACTGGAAAACGTAGCTGGCCGTCTTGGCATTGATCCGGAGTTTCCTTACTGTGCTGTTGCGTACCGGGTACTGAGCGCAAGTCGCACGATGAGCAGTCCCGAGTCATCAAGGGGAAGACTGATCTGTTATGAGATGCAGCAGTGGCCTGTTTGGCTGGCGTGATAGAGACGATATCGCGGTCGTGATTGTAGTGGTGATGGTGATGGTGATGGTGAGGGGGATGATGGTAGTGGTAGTGGTTGGTGGTGGTGGTGGTGGTGGTGGTGGTGGTGGCAGTATTGTGAAGAGAACCTGTCAAGCTCTTCGAATTCCTTCAAGCGATGGGTATGTTCCTAAGTTCTGGTAACTATACGAGAAGTAACCTTTCCTTCCCCACACTAAGCCCCCAAGCGGGGCTCATTCTTAACCAGGTTTAGGGCGCAAAACCCCCCCCACCCCATCACACACACCAGGTGCGGGCCAACCAGAACGCCGAAAATCCCCAGGTTAGGCATTATCCCCCCCCGGATTCAGTGGCAGCTGCCCTGGAACGTACTAGGCCCCTCCCTCCAAGAGGTCTGGCCACCACCAAGACCGCTAACCCTAGAAAGAAACTCGAGCAAAATTATTGTGGTACATCTATCGACATCTTGTTCTTCTAAGGCACATTATTTCGATCCATGACCAAATAACGGACAGCTGTGGGGATGAAATGTGGGTTACGATACATCGCTTCTTGCGCTTCAAAATCTTTTTTTTTTTTCTTTTTTTTTTTTTGCGACATTCAGTTTTATTAGTCAATCAGCTTACGGTCTCACCGATTTGCGGATAGACTATGGGTGGTTTGACAACATTGTCCTGCACGCCATATTTCTTTTTTGTTCTTCACCACTCTATACCCAACCTATTCTTCAAACATCCGATCGCTTCAAACTACATTTCTCTGCTCTGCCCCAAAAATGAGCTTTCTCGAATCAACTGTTCAGGAACAAATATAGTGGCGCTGAAGGGGAAAGTTCCCGCCCTGCTCTCTCTCCAGATCCAGGGCTTGCCAACAAGCCATCAGCAAATACCCGTGGTCAGAGGACCTCAATTTTGAGCGACATGCATTGGTAGGAACAGAGTCGACTGTCTGCGTGACACGGGCCTCTGGTATTCCCATCTTTGCTTTTTCTATGTTTTTGTTTTAACAGAACGACCCTCCGGATATGTCCTCTGCCAAGATCTTTAGGGGAGTGGAATTACTTTAATAAAAATAAAAATAAAACAAAATTAAAATAAAAAATTTAAAAAAGAAGAAGAAGAAAAAGAAAGAGAAAGAAAGAAAGAAAAAAAGATGCGCAAATCGAGATATGGCTGAGCCAACGATGAGCGCATGCTGGGCCCTGTATCGCCAGTTTGAAGAAGAACTTTTCTTTTCTTTTCTGCTTTAAACTCTCCCCTCCATTCTCTGGTTCACAATATAATATGGGCTGTCGCGGGACCTGCTCGCCATCCATTGATGAAGAACCAGAGGAGTGATTTATCTTTGCATCCAGGGCTCAAGGACCCTTGTCAACATTGGGCCAACAGTGTTTTAAGTGAGCGGACAAGCCGCCTGCCACATGTTTGTTAATCTGCGCCTTTGCCGGCTCCCCTCCCCTGACCCTCCGTCAGTGCAAGCTTATGAGAAAGGGGGTTAAAGGAGTGAAAGAGAAAAGAGCTCTACGTCAAGCTTTCTTTGGTTGCGCTAGAAAACGGTTCAACTATGTAACAATATGTCGTGTACCCTTTTCCCTCGGGCTTCTCACAATGCGTGTGCGCCATATAGAATGGGGCGAGAGGAGGTGGGGAGGGAGACGAGGGAGGGGAAGGGAGTTTCGAATAAAAACCACAGCTGATGCGAACAAAGCGAGAAGACTTATGACAGTAATACCTCCATCGATGTCGTTGCTTTCCGCTGGTTTACTGCTATGACGAACATTTGTCTCCCTATCTGCCAATAGCACTAGCAAAAACAAATCCTAAAATCCTTAAAAAGTTTCATCTAGCGCTCCGGAGAATCAAGCCGTTGGGAACTTATTTGAGGCCAATGCACTACATGTGGGACATGTAGCCGAGCCCGCACACGATACGGCAATACAAGGAACGATTTGACGATCCCGTCACACTCCGTTTGGCAAACGCGGAAGTTTAAGTACTACCTACGCTGGGGTCCATGCTTGAAGAAGATATGAAAATGATTAAGTCTACCTCTCAACTGAATGGACAAACCGAAGTTGACGATCAGGAATGTTACTACTGGACAGAACAGCCC